CGATCATGACAACCACTCGGCAAACAGTGGAACATTTCACTAATCTGTCATGGAAGAGTGGGAGAAAGTGTCTGAGCTGTTTTTATCAGCTTGAAAAGCACAGCTGCCATTTTTGTAATAGTCATGATTTAAGAAAACAGATTATTTTTAGCTGTCTGGTGACGAGCGCTCGGCTACCACGTTACAAATGCTAAACAAGTGGCCAACAACAGTGCTAAACTCTTTAGTTTCTCAACAACGTTAGTTAGCCAGCAGCTAAAAACAGCTAGCCTGGAAAGACAGCGCTCTCCCGCTTTCCAGTGCCTCACAGCTTCCTCAGTTTACTTTCGAACATGAACCACGTCTTTCTTTCACTTTCGTTGCTCGAGAATGCACTAATACTAAAATATGGCGGTTTGGCGCTGTAACACGGCGCTGTAGACGTGATTTAACACCGCTAAAGCTGTTAGGATGTTAGTAAAGAGGTGAGTTCGCTGTAGGTCAGTACAGTTACACCACTGACCTCGTCACTCAGACTCAGTCACAGGAGAACAGATCGCCGATAACATCCACTCAGACAGGGAATGTGTAACTCTGCATTTCAGACGTTGCTAAAGTATATTTGGCGACCCTTTTTTTACTCGTGGCCCCCTCCCTCTCTAATCAAGTCAAAAAATTCGGAAGTGCGCCCTCTCCTGGCGACAGCAGAGTAGTGTCGCTTTCCTTGCAGTAGAAAACGCCACCAGGGCTTTCGCTAAAACGTGGGAGTGTGAGAACGGTGTATTATATCGAACATTTATCGAACCTGTCTTATCGCTCTATCGAGGAAAAGTTATATCGCGATACTTATCGTTATCGTTTTATCGCCCAGCCCTAACTGTACTGCATTGCGGAATGTTAAGGCTGAGCTGCTGCAACAAAATGTCATTTTACTGCATTTGTAACCCTACAGAAATGTGCGAATACCTCAGGTCAATTTACATGTTTTGTTGATTTTCTAAGTGAAAATATGTATTTGCATGGTTGCACAGGCCACATTTTGTTTTACTTTTCTATCAATACGTTAAATTCAGCAAATAAACAGTAACCGTGCATGAAAATGTGAAGTGTGTGTTCTACGTAGTGGATGTGTTAACCGGAAATGTGAAAAATAGATCATTTGACCGGGTTACCCAAACGTTTGCACACAACTGTACGTTACATTTCTCTGTTATGCTAATTCAGTACAATTATTTCCAAATCATTTTTGTATCGGCACCAGCAGAAGCACAAATAAGCACAAGACAAATATCAGATAACCACCCAGAATTCCGATATCGGTACATCTAGTAAATAACCCGACCAAGACTGTACATGCAGTTATGCCTCCTCTTCTGAGCTTGTCATCAGTCTTGTTCGCCATTTTGTAGAGCTGTGATACTGACACCCACTAGACTGAAGTGAAATGAATCTACAGTGGAGAGCGCACTGCTCATTTCAACCTCGCCAGAATGTCCACTATACTCTACTACGAGGGCTGGACAGCTGGAAGTACAGAGCGTTCAATCCGGTTATTGAGAGGGTGAGCAGGAGGCGTGCTGGATCTAGTCCCGCACAACACTTCATAATCTTTAGAGTGATACCAGCATTTGCAGTACTGATACTGCAGAGAGCTGCTGTATGCAAATGAGCCTTTTAATAAAATCAAAGGTTTTTGTTGTGTGCTGTGAGCATCCTCAGCAACGCCAGATGTCCGGATGAGCTTCTGCTTGTTTATGAATCGAGCATCCTTGTGGTCCAACAAACGTAAAGAACACTGGTCAAAATAACGGAAACAGCATATCGCAGGGTATACAGTAGGGCAATATGGGAATAAAATACAGTGTTAATTATTAAGGTAAATATTGCATAAACATTGCTTTTATAATTAAACAGAATTATAACTAATCCCTACTTTGAGCAAAAGTTCAAAGTAAAAATAGTTGCTTACATCAACCGCGAGCATTTTAGAGCTACTAAAAAACTTTAGGCCTACAAAAAAAAACTTCCCCCTCCTTATGCAAATGGATTTTCTTAGACAGTCTTTACACTCTCAAAGAGTCAAATGACGCTTTGCTGATTTTCTAAGCAAGGTTAACGCATCCTCTACTTAAATATGGCATTCTTTCTTTAAATTTTAGTGCACAATTTCTATTTATTTGCTGAGCTAAACACATGGAAAAATAAAATGTAATAATAAAATGCAATAAAACAATTTAATTTCTTTATAAAGAATAAGGATATTGTGATGCAGGTTTGCTGAGACAGTAGCTATTACTACACAACAATGAGACTGAGGATTAGTCATGTTTAAAATCCTTTTACAGGCTAGTAGTTAAGGATGGAGTACTTGTAATTAGTTAAATAGCAGAGTGGTTAAGTCACCCGCTCTACACCCAGGAGAGCAGATCAGTGCTCTAATAACAGGCATGACATCTAACGCTGCATTCCCGTCAATCTTATTATGGCACTCGTTCTGTTCTGTAATCGCAGCTCTTAACAAATGTGTTCATCACTGATGTTCATATTGGCTCATGAGAGTAGTAAACGACTGTCAATCAGCCACCACAGTACAGACCTGGTTCCAGCTAACTGATGCTGAATTAACATCTGTTTAGAGGATAAAAGGAGCACAAAATCAAGTGACTGGTGTTGAAGTGACAACCAGAATCAAATGTGTTCCAAGATGGTTCTTCAAGGGTTCTTTAGTAAAGAAAATAATTCTATATAGAACCATGAACACTCAAAGAACACTTTGCATGATTACAGCGTTCTCTGCATTGTGAACGGGTTCTTCAGATTGATGGAGAATGTGCTTTAGATGGTTCTACATTCAACCTTTTAGAAAAACCCTTTTGGGTGCTACAACAGAACACCTTTCAAAAAGGTTCTATATAGAACCATCTACAGCATATTATGCATCAATTTGAAGAACGCTTTAATTATGCAAAAGGTTCTTCGAGGGTTCATAGTTCTATATAGAACCATTTTCTTTACTAAAGAACCTTTAAAGAACTATTTCTAAGAGTGTAACATTTAGCCTGTTAGCGATTTGCTGAACCACTCATTTGTAGTTGTGTTCTTAACCATTTCCTGGTTCTGATTTAGCAGCACCGCAGATGGAAATAGTAACTGGTATGGCACAGTACGGCCCTGAGAACCCTTTGGCTCTACAGTGGAAAAGCAGCCATTACGATAATAAATATATGATAAACCATGCACTTAAAAAAAAAGATGGTTTTTCAAGGGTTCTTCAGTAAAGAAAATTGTTCTATATAGAACCATAAACATAAACCATATCAAAGAACCCTCTGCATGATTAAATAGTTCTTCAGATTGATGGAGAATGTGCTCCAGATGGTTCTATATAAAACCTTTTTGAAAAAGGGGTCTATATAGCACCAACAAGGGCTCTTCTACTGTTACGTGGTCAAGTTTGTCAAAATAGCAGAACCCTTTTTGTTGCTATATAGAACCATCTTCAGCACATTGTCCATCATTCTGAAGACCCCCATCATGACGCAAAGAACCCTTTAATCATGCAAATGGTTCTTTGAATGTTCATGGTTCAGATAGAACCATTTTCTTTATTAAAGAACCCTCGAAGAACCATCTTTAAGTGTGTACTGTCCTGCATTGTAACAGTCCATGCTGTGCAGGTCTAGAGCTCATTCCTTCAGTTAAGAGGTGACATGGTGGGTGTGCTGGATTTATAACGTGGAAAGAAAAAAAAAAACATAGCTGTGAAATTCAAACCTGCTGGATGCCCAAGCACAGATAATAAACGCTGTCAGGTGCATAAGCCTGGCCATTTGGCCTGCGAACTTCGCTGATGAAATGACACAGGCCGTCGCTAAGCTCCGCAGAGCTGCACTGCAACACGTCCTCCTTCACAGTCAGAGCGCTCGCTGACAAGGACACACAGAAAAAAAGTCATTAAGACACATGGTGGGTCAGTTCATGTTCTGCTGCAAGAGTGACATTTATTTCTGACACGAATGCATGAGTCATGGAAGCAGACGCTGTGAGGCAAAAGGAGCCAGAGATTCCACGCTGATGTTAACATTACATAACAAATTACTTAACACAACTTTATATAAGAAAGTATTTAACAAAACTGTAAATCAAATACCAAACAGTAAACAGTCTTGGCTGTGAAACACTCCATAACACAAACTACAATTCGCATTCAAAACAGTTTAATTAGAGGACAAAGATTCACAAACTATTCGAAATATTCATTTCCTTCATGCTCTAGGGGGAAAAAGAAGAAAAAGTCATCCCAAGATTGTTGCTTAGCAACATCAGTAATAGTGACAGCATGGACAATACAGCATAGTCTGCACTTCACATAACAAGACCATTATAAAATGTTTGTGGAAGCAGAATCATGTTGATCAAACTTACCCTCCGTTTGTTGTGTTCTCCACTGCACCCAGCTGGCCCAGGCTTTCACGCCATACACGTGATGGATTTTGGAGCTGGGCGAGGAGCCGTTCGCCGCATCTGTTCCCAAACGCCTCCGTCCCTGTAAGAAAGGCACATTTGAACTCCTGAACTTTAGACAAACGCTGCTCATTTTTTAGAAGCACATCTTTGAGACTTAAATCCAAATCTGGCCATTTTAAGTAAACATTTATAACTCATGGTGAAATAAGGCATGTTTGCTACTGTGCCTCTTTCCAGGCAATGCATTTTTGCATAATTTGAAATTGCTAATATTAGCCTTCTTATTCAGAACAAATGAGTGACTCACATCAAACTTGTAAGCAGAATAAAGAAAAAAGAAAAAACTTAAAAAAACAGAAAATTACTAAAAAGGATAAAAGCTACTCAACACAATGAGAGCTGAAACTAAAAGAAAATCATTTTGCTGCACTGTTAGAAATAACAATAATAATTTTAAATAACAATAATCTAGTTATTTTAAGAGAAGACCAAAAAATTGATCTATGCCAAGTACTTCACATTATGAATGGTACATTATAAAAGTGAACACAAAGCACGGTCCCAATTTTTATTGAACTGTGACCTAAACACAGACAAGAGAAGCACTGAGATACTCTATAGAGTAATACAACCTAATTTCAGAGACGTTCAACAAAATGAAGATACAGTAGAGAATGTATTGTAAAACAGGAGGGAAGTGACCATGAAATTACAGGTAAACAATGTGAGTATGAAAGAAAAACGTGCACATTCAGTTCTTAAACTAAAGAATCGTTGAAGTAATGCTGACTTTACTAAATCATCACACAAATAATACAGTACAATATCAGGTCTTTCTTAGGCCTCGTTACAGTAATAAAGTGCTTAAAGTGAAATGTAATACAATGAAATTAAGAACCGGAAATAAACACAGCATTTCTTAGTGTAGTACGTTAACATGCTTAACAATACAAGTAAGAATATTAAAACTTTTCACTTATAAATCAGTTTTCTGGCTCTACATCTGGCATTTCCAGGCATTTCCAACAACACGTGCCAGATTTGTAACAAGAATAAATGCTTGACCTTCTTCAACTAATGATATTCAACACCTAGAGATCTACTAGAGGTCTACTAACGTTTGTGAGTAGCAAAGACAAAATGTCAGATACACTAAAAACAGCAAACTGAAAAAATTAAAAGAAGTAGTGAAGTTCTTCTTGTTTGCCTGTTAGTTCCTGACAATCAGAGTGGAACTTTTTTTTTTTTTTTAAAACTAGAAAACCAAATATTCTGGCAAAGACGCATCTAGGCATGTCTTCACACACGTCTTTTTTTAGGACGAGACCCATCTGCAGCAGCATCCATCGCATCGGCTCCTCCACCAGGATGTTCTCCATCACTGTCAGCTTCCATCTGCTTTGATTTTTTCTTTTTGCTCGCTTGTATAGCGTTATGAACATAATATTTGACATCCCTCCATGTTCTTGACTTGAGAGCATCTGGCTCAGTCCTTATACAGTCCAAACAGTCCTTTTTGCCTGGTACCTTCATGAGGGATATATACTTTGCCATGTGCCTCCTCACAGCTTCCTGTTCATCCACACTCCATTTTCTTCTTTTGTCTTTTGGTGCACGAGCACCTAATAAAGATCATTAAAAGCAATATTAAGAGAGATACTGCTGAAGTAAAGTTATAAACAATAATAAAAATTTAAACAGTTTAATATTGAGGTGTCCAACTCTTTTGATGATCAAATTAATGAATGTCTGAAGAATGTGCATGAAAAAAAAAGATGTAAATACCTTCATCAGTCTCTTTGGCTGAAGGTGTCACTTTGCCTGTCTCATGAGAATTTTCTCTGTGTGGAACAGCTTCTTGGTCCATTTTAAGAAGCAGGTTGCAGATTTCTGCCAACTGCAGGGGATTTTCATTCAGTTTTTCCCAGTTAAAGCTGCCACCACCCACAAGCTCAGCTACATGGTGCATTTCACTGTCATTAAGGCTTAGTATTTGGAATATAGTGGCTACACACTTATGTGTACGTATAGAAGTAAAACTTTCGGGCTTGTCTGCACCACAACTCTGGGCAAGATCTTTCAGGAAGTCAGTGGCTCTTACGTGAGTAGAAGCTTCCATTCGAGCAAACATGTAATGATTGTCCGCAGGGACACCTACATGCTCACGGTACTTAGTCAGGATGTCCAAGGATGACTCCATTCTTTCAGTCAGTAAAACGGGACACATACTCCCATCTTTACAAACGCTTTCAATTTTGATCAGCTTATGATTAAGACTCTGCTGCACCTTTGATAGGAACTCACACTTGTCTCCACTGTAAGGTTCTTTAGTTCTCTCTAAGTAGTGTTTGAGAAGCATTTTATCCACTGCGTTTTTCCGTCCTCTATTAAACAGAGCAACTGTGCCAAGAAGACTGTTGCGCAGATTCTTCCATGCTTTGCGATTAGGGTTTTCCATCAGTTCCCTTTTGGCCTGCTCCTCAGCACGTCTAAGAAAGTCCTGCATTTTGATGACATCGTCCGTAAGAGCTGCAACATCCTCCAGGCTCTGTCTAACAGGGCTTTGTACGTTGCAAGAATGCGAGGCTATGTATGTAACCCAGTCCGTTTCAAGGAGCTCGATGAACTTTTTGGCTTGGGCTGTAGCTTCATCTCCCATAATATTCTCTCCCAATGCTATTTCAGTGGCCTGTTTCAAGGAATAACCCAGTTTCGAGGCAATCGCTGAAGTTTTGAATTGATTAGAGTGCTGATCAAAACACCCAAGCTTCTTTGCAGCCTCCAAAGCCAAATCAAACCTGGATTCAGTGCATACTTGATGCAGATGCTCAACACTCGGATCCAGCTCCTTCACAGCTAACATAAATCTACCTAGTTCTCTCATCTTTTGTGATACGTAACTGTGCTGTGGCTTAAGATTCACACGCTTTTCACAAAGACTGTTGCCAAATTTGCAGATCAATTCATCATTTCTCAATTGTTTCGAGATGTCATCATCTCTCATAGAGCGGACAATATCCCGGCAGGCCTCAGAAAGACAGTCATGTAACGCAAAGGTCTTATTTGAAGCTGACCGAGTCCATTTCCGGTGAGAGTTTTTATCCTTCTTCATTTTGCATGACCGCTGGTGCCGACACGACTCACTCTTAAGAAAAAAACCCAGGCAATCAGGACAAGATTTATAGTCATTTGACGAAGTGTTCTTTTTTGTTCGCTTCAGTGGGATTATTTCCCCGTTTCCATTTTGAAGAACTTTAATGTTATGCTGGTAATTGCCTTTATTGCGGAGCTGTTGAAGTAAGAGGTGTCTTGTTTTGGATCCTTTTGGAAAGCTGAGGGCATGTGCTACGTCCTTTTCTTTTGCATGTCTCATTTCCAAGTGCCTTGCTATTTTGGTGACGGGTCTTTTACAGTAAACACAGAACTGCTTTCTGCCATACAGTCTCTGGGCACCAACTGTTTTTACCTTTTTACCACCTTTTACTCTTGACTTAGAAGATACCTTTGACTTTGGAGAAGAGACCTTAGTCCGAGTGGTGGCTTTTAGGCAAGAAAACGAGGTAAACTTGGACTTGATCTTGATGTTCTTTGTTGATCTGCACCGAGATGCTGCAGCAGGGCTCTTCAAAGGCTCTTCAGCACTATGGCTGGAAGTGAAAGTCTTATTCTCAGCTAGATGAAACTCTGACTCATTTTCTATGAATGTGCTCTGCTCATATTCATTATTGTCCACACTTTCATCATTTGCATTAAGACTTGGACTGAGCAATAAATCTGACATGAGATTCTGGCTTTTTGAACTTTGAGTGGACACTGGACTTGAGGGTGACTCAGCTTTTGTTCTGTTCTCTGTGGTTGGCCCAATCTCAGAATAGGAACTGCGGTTCTGGCAAGATGATGAGCTCAGAGTTGATTTGAGATCAAAATTCTCAGCCAACTGACTCATTACATCTAAATTGCCATCCGTGATACAAGTGGATTGTTCATCATGAGTCGGACCAAAATCAGATCCACTTGAGATCTCCGAGTCCAGCTCATGTTCACTTTTAGCACTTCTATCAATATATGGGCTGACTTTGGGCATGGGTGATAACTTAGATCTCAGGTTGTATGCTGAACATGATCTCAAACTTGCATGTTGTTTATACCTGCAACTCGGACTGAGTTGGTTGTAGAGATCAGAATTAGGTTTTGGGTTGGTCTGTAGACTTGACTTACTGCTTCTGAGATGGGATTCAGGCGAAGATTGCGGGTTCCACTCAACACTGGGGCGGTGGCAAGATTCAGGAGTAGGCAACGGATCCGTTTCAGAAGTGGCTTGTACAACTGCCTGAAGGCACGAGTCAAGACTTGGCTGAGAGCAAGGAATAAATTCAGGACAAAGTAGTGGGCTGAGTTCAGAGCTGGACCTCAGACTGGATGTAGGGCATGATTCAAAACTTGTCTGATTTGTCGTGGGCTTGGTTTGGGGCTGATTCTGAGGCAGGTTTGTTGGCAAGAATTGGGGTAATCTGTTTCAGTACTGCAACTTTCCATGAATTGAAGACAGGATTCAAAACTAGACTGAGGGCTATGTTCTGGACTAGAACTAAACGTGGGTTGATGACAAGAATCCAGAGACAGTGGGAGCCCAAGATCTGGATCAGATTTCACTGAGGATTCCAAACATGGTTTATTCGGCTGTGGGATGGGTTCAGGAACTGTTCCGCTGGTAGTTTGACAGAAAGATTCAGGACTAGGAAAGTTACTTTTTAGAAGACTGCATTGGTCAGTAGCCTGACAGGAGAATTCAATACTAGTGTGAAGGCTTGTTTCAGGACTTAAAGGGTGACCAAGATCAGAGTTGAGTGGACTGAACAACTCAGCACAAGGCTGATCAAATCGTTCACCTTGTCCAAGATCAGATCCGAGACCAGTCCTGTCACAAGATTCAAGACTGGGTTGTTTTAGGAGTTCAGAACTAGACTGAGCATCTGGCATAGAGGAGGATTCAAGACTGGGTTGCGAGATTGAATCAGGACAGAAATTGATACTAGTTTGGGGGCTAGAGTCAAGATTAGGATGTGGTCTAGGTTCTGGACTGCACCTTGGATTTAGCAAATGAAGTGGGCTTAATCTAGCAAGGGGTTGTGAGGTCAGTTCAGATGTAGGTTCAATCTTGGACTCCACATCAGATTGAGAGTGGCACTTGGCATCCTGTGGTTGCAAAAAATTTGAACACGACTGCAAATTCATCTTCATCTTGCATGAGCGCTCATGTTTTAACAAGGCACGTCGGAGATAGAAAGCCAGGCAGTACTGGCAGGGCAAATACTCCATCATGGAATGATTCCCTTTTCTTCTGATTTTAGGAACAATTTCTCCATTTCCATTCCGAATAACTTCAATATTATGCTGATAATTGCCTTTTTTGCACAGTCGTTCAAGCAAAAGAAGCCTTTTTTTAGACCCCTTAGGAAAACTCAGGGCATGTGCTACATCTTTTTCATGTGCATGTTGATGCCTCAGATGCCGTGCTATTTTGGTGTAGGGATTCTTACAGTAGACACAGAACTGTTGTTTGCTCAATAATTTGTGACCACCAAGTGTTTTATTATTTAAAGTTAACTGCTGAGATGGCACTGAACTTGAAGTAGTACAGGTTATGCTGCAACTTTGAGTGGACACTGGACTTGAGGTTGATACAGTCTTTGTTCTGATCTCTGTGGATGATTTCATCCCAGACTTGGAACTGTTGTTCCGGCAACATGAGTTCAGAGTTGAAGAGACATCACCACTCTTATCCAACTGTCTCATTCCATCCGACTTGCCAACTGAATCCATGTTAAAAGTAGACTGTTTTTCATAAATCGGATTCTTTTCAGATGCACTTGAGACATTTGCATCCAGCTTTTGTTCATTGTTCCCATTTTTATCAATATATGGGCTGACTTTGGGCACCACTGATGTCTTGGATCTCAGGTTGTACGTTGAACATGATAAACTTGTCCGTCGGTTATATTTGCGTCTTACTGCGGGACGGTGACAAAGTTCAGTATTTGGTTTTGGACTGGGCTGAGGACTTGATTTCACACTGCATCCCATCTCACGGGACTCAAGAGTAAGTTGTGGATGCAACTCAGCATTGGGGTTGTGGCATATTTCAGGAGCAGACAAGGAATCTGTTTCAAGATTAGGCTGAGAGCTAGGACCTGGTTCAGGCTGAATTAGTGGGCTAAATTCAGAGCTGGACTTCACACTGGATGGAAGGCATGACTCAAAACTTGCCTGCTTTGTTTGTGGGCTTGGTTCAGGACTGATTCTGAGGCTAGTTTGTTGGCAAGAATTGGGATAATCTGTTTCTGGACTGCATGTCTCCATGAATTGAAGACAGGATTCAAAATGAGACTGAGGGCTAGGTTCTGGACTTGAATTAAAAGTGAGCTGAAGACATGAATCCAGAGATAGTGGCAGTCCAAGATCTGGATCAGATCTTGCAGGGGATTCCAAATGTGGTTTATCAGGCTGTGGGATAGGGTCAGGAGATTCAGGACTAGGAAATGGACTTTTCTGAAGACTGGATCTATCAGTGACCTGATTAGAGAATTCAGTAGTTTGAAGGCTTATTTCAGGACTAGACTCCAAACTAGGTTCATGGCATGATTCAGGGCTAAGTGGTTGACCAAGATCAGAAATAGGTGGATAGAGGGATTCAGCACAAGGCTGGCCAAGTTGTGGATCAAATCCGAGAGAAGTCCTGTCACATGATTCAAGGCTGGGTGTTTTAAGGAGTTCAGAACTGACCTGAGTACTTGGCATAGAGAAGATTTCAATATTGGGTTGAGTGACGGATTTAGGGCAGAAACTGATACTGGGTTGGGAGCTGGAGTCAAGATTAGGTTGTGGTCTGGGTTCAGGACTGGAACTCTGATTTGGCACTCGAACCGGGCTTAATGTGGCAAGGGGTTGGGAGCTCAGTTCAGATGTAGGTTCAATACTAGACTCCAAACCAGACTGAGAGGAGCACTTAGTATCCGGTTGTTGCAAAAAATTTGAACAGGACCGCAAATTCATCTTCATCTTGCATGAGCGTTCATGTTTTGTCAAGGCACGTCGGCGATAGAAAGCCAGGCAGTATTGGCATGGCGAAAGTTCCATCATGGAATTGTTGCCTTTTGTTTGGGTTTTAGGAACAATTTCTTTATTTCCATTCCGAAGACCTTCGATATTACCCTGATAATTGCCTTTTCTGCAAAGCCGTTCAAGTAAAAGATGTCTTTTTCTAGATCCCTTTGGAAAACGGAGGGCATGTGCAACATCTGTTTCCGTTGCGTGTTTGCATTCTAAATGTCTTGCTATTTTGGCATTGGGCTCTTTACAGTAAATACAGAATTGCCTTTTGGTGCGTGATTTCTGATTGCCAACCATTTCATATGGTTTCAAATTTGGCCTTGAAGATGACCTTGACCGAGATGATGACCTAAGCTGTGGGCCAGATTTACAATTCATCTGTGGTTCAACCTGCTCATCACCGGTTAGAATATACTCCAAGTTACTCGAAGTATTTGCATCCAGTGTCTCAGTTTGACATGTTTCCATGCTTGACTGTCCTAAATCAGTGTCTGAGAAAGACTGTGTGCAATTTGGTTCTGTATCCGGTTTTTTCTTCAGTTTTTCCACAACAGTAGCCTGAACAAACAACTTGAGCATTGAGTCTGAATACCCTATATTAAATAGACAAAAGAATTTAATAGCATCTATCTATGATGTCCATCAGAACGTAACAGCTTATGTTAGATGACAAAGGGAAACAAATACAAAAACAAAAAAACAAAACCCCCTGAGGTACAGACTCTTTGTTAAACTACAAAACCTACTTTAGAACATGCTTAGCCCAAAAGTAGAAAATATCCCAGGCGTTCATATGTTTTTTAGAGCATGTCTAATTTGGGAGTATTGGTGTGCAATTCCAAAAAAAGCAATGTGAAAAATAGCCACCTACATCAAATAAACAGCATAAATTTGCAAAAAAGCGTGTTCTGATATGTTCCGCTGAGGAAGCATGAAACAAGCATCGAGGCTCATTTGAGAAATCAGTCTGGCCCAAGACATTCATAGCTTTCACGAAAGTTAGAGAATGAAGCAGCAATTTACTTTTGGATGGCATCAATCGGTTTTGGATCTATGTTGTTTTATTAATAAAAGATGAGGCATTTGGTTTGGCAGTGAAACAGAATTTCAGTCGCAAAACTCAAATACTACTTTACATTTTTGAACACATGTTCAAGCAATTACTTCAGCAAAGTAGCTCAAGTTTATGAAACCAGTTGCGAACAAGGGCAGAAAAAATGTATATATATATATACACAGAGACCTTACTGGTGAGATTGTGTAGGCCTATTATATCTTTTCATCACTCAACTGCAGAAATGAATGAGGAAAAACAGACGAATGACAAAGCCTTTGCAACTGATTATGTCAAGAACTGACTAAATTTAGGTCTTGAATATTTCTAAAGATACAGAAACTTTAATATAAAATTAACCTTTGTACTGTTGGGATACAGTCTAATGCTATGACACAGGACTGTGCTGCAGCATGAAGTAAAACCAAAATTACTGCCTTTCTGGGTAAAATCATAAAACAATTCTTACACATTACACAAGTATACTTTAATGACAAAGCACACCATTCACTATCTATGCTCAAGAAAATCCAGAACAAAATGCAGAAAAATCTGTTGGCTTGTCCCAAAGTCCACACTCTGATGTGCATTCATGAGCTTTCCAATTAGCAAAAGTTTGAACACCCCTGGTCAAATAACACGTTTTGTCGATTTTCTAAGTGAAAATAAGTCAACCCATCCTCTACATGGAACGTTCTATTACACAACAAATGTTAATGCACAACACTTTATTCGCTGGGTTTCTATATAGATATATGTGCCACAGATTTTGCAAAAGCCACATTGTATGTTGGATTCTCTTATTAAACCAACAAAACAAGTAATTTATCCATGGATGCCCAGACCTTTGCTTTTAGTATGGCTTTGCACATTTTACAACTGAGGCATTGTCGTGTTCAGAGTTTAAACACTGTCAAATTGACTTCATTCGTGATGTTTGAACATTTTTTAATTGTCTGAATTGTAATTTTATTTAGAAAACAGCACATCATTCAGTGCCAGAAACAACAACAAGTAGTCTGTTGGAGATTACTGAAGACCCCACATGGTTTGAGGCAAGTATGTGATGATTTAGGTACGTAGTGTGCACAACAGGGTAAATGGGGTAAACTGGGTAAATTACGTTTTATTCTTCCAACACCGCTTACTACTTGATTAATATTTAAAATGGAATATTTAATGCATAAAACAAGACAGCAAACTAGCTAGCAGTGTTACACTAACTATTCAAATAGCACAAAATTAATTTCTAGTTAAAAATACACACTTGTGCACTTAAGAAGTACTTCAATAGTCTTTCTATAGACGTCAACTGCGGACTTTGGGACAGGCCCTGAGACACTAAGAGTTAAAAAATACACAAAAATACAAGACAGACAATTACAAAATGTGGAGTCCAACTTACCTTCGGTTGATAATGAGTCCTTGCAGTAAAAAACTGGAGCAGGGTACCGTCCTCAGCAATATGGTTTGTGTGAAGCTTTTGGCAATATTATCCATCTAATACTTTAATATACAGTGTATCTTAAGTTTAGTACTGCAACAACAAAGCATAAACAGACGAAGCTGAACTGCGTTCATACCGTTGTTCGCAACTTTCATTGCTTTGAACTCTTTTGGAACAGTATGTTTAAGGATATTTTAGACATATAATCATATGCATATTTTGTATACGCAGATTAGGCCAAGTCGGTACAAAATGGCTTTAGGAAAACTCAAACTAACATTAAGTTTTATTTGTAATTTTTTTAAACGCAAATTTATATATGCATTAATACATAACCAGCCCTATGAGCGGCTAGCTTTCCCCAGCCTTACAAGACACCTAGTTTTAGGATCATGTGCAATAGGCAAGTGAAATGTACTCACAACATTACGTTGTTATATATAACCATATATCACTGCTGTCGGAAGAAAACCTCGTATCTCCATTTTTTTCCTTTCGTTTTTGACATAGTTTGAAAATGCTTGTTGGCTTTTATATTGTGTAAATTTCATGCCGAATGGACCAAAAGAAATGACCCAAGTCTGGTTTCACTGACTTACATTAAAAGTAAAGTAGGTTTCTTTCTTCTCCTGTAAAGTCACCATTTTGGAGATGCGAGGTTTTCTTCCGACAACAGCGATATATACATTTTTGTCAGAACAAAGCCTTGTGTTTCCAAAATACAGTTTAGATAAGAAGGTCCATTCATTATGAAATCTTCACACAAAATATGTTAAAAAGAAGAGAAAAAAGAAAATGGAAAAACATGATAGAATGTAAATAAATCAATAAATAAATCAATACATTTAACAAGGTTTTGTCCCGACAGCAATGACAATGTGTTATAGAACCACTTATAAAGAATGTGTACAATAGTTCCAACTTAGAGTACAAAAATGTTGAATATTCAATAAAAAAAAATTCTTTTGGCGAGCTCAGAACTGAGTCAACTAACAATTTTTACATTTTAAAAGAATATCGCTGCTGTCGGAAGAAAACCTCATCTCCATTTTTGTCGTTTCAGTTTTTGACAACTTAAAAATGCCTGTTACCCTTTACACTTTATGTTAATTTTATGAAGAATGTACTAAAAGAAACGGCCCAAAACGACTTGGAAAAATTCTGGTTCCACTGACTTACATTAAAAGTACAGTAGGTTTTTTTCCTTCTCCTGTAAAGTTGTCATTTTGGAGATACAAGGTTTTCTTCCGACAACAGCGATATGTTTGTCTTATGCTAATGTGGGATCCAAGGAGTGACACATTAGCGTCTATTAACACTGATGCACCAGCACATTAACAGATCAACATGATCTATTATTACTGGACAGATTGTCCAGGAAACCTCAACACAGGTTTATTCTACACTTTGTGCTAAAGACTGTTAACAGTTTTGGCTGTGAGTCACATTGTAAGTTTTTTTTTTTTTCAACCACATTAAAAAGATTAACACCAGTACCCCAGAGTTTCACACCTGCTGAACATCTACTCTAAGGCAAAACTGTGGTGTCACGAGGTCTGCAAGTAGCGCTAAGATGGAACTGCTGTGGTTTCAAGTATAAACCTTGTATCTCCATTTTTGTCGTTTTTCAGTTTTTGACATAATTTGAAAATGGATATTGGCCTTTACACTGTGTGTAAATTTCATGATCATTGGACCAAAAGAAACGGCCCAAAATAACTTGAAAAAAGTCTGGTCCCATTGACTTACATTAAAAGTAAAGTATGTTTTTTCTCTCTCCTGTAAAGTTACCATTTTGGAGACACAAGGTTTTGTTCCGACAGCAGCGAAATCTTATATTTCTCAAAAAGAAAGAAAACAATTTGAGAAAATTGCCTGACCAAAAAAAAAATAAATAAATAAATAAATAAAAACCTGTCAACAGCACGCTACACATCAAAAGGTTGTACAGGTAAAACATCTTATACTGCAATAAACCTGAATAAAGCCTAAAATCCTATTACATCTAGACATACCCGCTTTCCTCTCTTGCGGCGCTTTGGTGACTTCTGCTCCTTTGAGGATCCATAATCATTCGAGGCTGTTAAAATTACATTGTAAAAAATAAACAAAATTACTTGCAAGGCTATTATAATAAATATCTGATAATGCTGCACATGAACTACATGTACAATAAAGTATTCGTAGCACCAGTGGACATATTTATGGCATCTTAAATGATTGATAAGTCATGATTTTGTGAAATTACTCACATGTTTACACTAAACACCACAGTAATTTTTCAATTCATTATATGCTTGTTACACATTAATGAATCTAATTAATCTTTTAAAATTATTACGTAATAGTAATGGAGATTCTGTTCTTTTTTATTTATACATTTTACATTCATGATTTACAGATGATTTCATGAATTATTCAGTGAAGTTTATGCTAAACAAATGAATAATTTTTCAATTAATTACATTATATGCTCGTCACTCATTAATGAATGTATTTAATCTTTCAAAATTATTATGTTATAGTAATAGAGATTTATTTTTCTTTTTCAATTTATACATTTTTTCAAAATGTACAGACAAGATTCTGGCGGATGTCCATCTATGTAGGGTTTAAAATTTAAATCAGTGCAGGTCAGCTTTGGCTCGACCAACATGAAATTAAGGGCCTTAACATTCAGATATTTGATATCGGACAATATGATTTTATATACATTTGTATGTTTCATAATTAAATTTTATACTCCAATAGCATTAGTTGAGTTGTGCTTTACTGATTATTATGGCTCCAAAAAAAAATAAATAAATAAAATAAATATAATTCAGATATTTCAGCACAGTGTCCCAGCGCCAGTTAAACATTCTCTCTTCAGGAGTAATGTTTTTACTAATTGGTAATAAATACATTACCAAGTATTGGTCAGAAATATCACTCAAATCTAAACATTTGTTCAATGCTAAGAATTTTTTTAAAGCAAATATCTGCTGATATTAATATGATACCCATATTATTCTGCATCCCTAATTATAAAGTTATTCTCATGCTAAAGGTCAGGACACTTTTCACATGTTTTTGTTATGTTAAAATGTTATTTTGTGTGCAGATTCTCCACTTCAGTCAGTATTGTTGTGTTATAGTTAAACAGGAAGCAGCTCTTCACATGGGGTTTCCCAGTGGTACAACTGCCTGAACATCTGTCCTATTGTTGGAAGATCAAGTTTAAACACCAGTTAACTCATATACCGGGCAGGCTCTACTAGTAACTAAGGCTTTGTTCACACAGCAGGTAAAAGTGGCCCAAATCCGATATTTTTCTCCGTATGTGACACAGATGTGTGTCTGTGTGTCAGTGTGAACAGATAAACACACAATCTGACATTTACAATTCTGATTTGAGACGCTTTCATGTGTGGTACTGAAATCCGATACTGATATGTGATCTGTATGTGTATCTGATACGCAGCAATGCGACTCAGTCTGAACAACCAGATCGGAATTTATGCAACTTTTACGTCAATCCAACTTAAGATTCATCATAACTTCACGCTGCTGAGACCTCAAACATTTAGGATGATGTTTCTGTACCAAAAAAATAGAAGAGACTTAACCAAAACACCTCCGTGTTGGAAGAAATTTAGAAAGAAACGGCCGAACGCGGTCGTAGGAGAACGAAACACTCTGCCTTTCAGACAGTAAAAAGTCTGAAAGCAAAGTTTAAAGAATCCGAGGACGCGAACCGAAGAAGTGACCGCGCCCTTTTTACGGCTCGAACACATTCTGGGTGATGAGCCCAGCTGTCTGTCAATGAAGCTTCATGATGGCTCCTATGATGCTGGTGAAAATGAAGCTGAACCTCCAGCAGTGACTGGCATTCATTGGGGGTCATGATCGTTTACCTCTGGATGAGCCGTGAAGCAGCGTGAAACATTGTTCTTTTGCTCATGCGGCTTAGTTTAGGAGCTGATCTGTTCAGACTAATGTCCCATACAGATCACATTTAAAAGATATTGTGAACAAGATTTGGTGAGAAAATCAGATTTGGGCCATTTTTACCTGCTGTGTAAACATAGCCTAAGAGCACTTTGTGGGTTTTTGTGTTTGCGCTCTGACCTGGATAGAGGATTGCTTACCAACAGGAAAGTCCTTTTCCAAATCTAGTGGGCTGGGTGATGTGGATGCAGTGGGAGAACTGGCTGGTCTCTCTATCTGAGATGAAGGGACTGATGGCTTATGATGTTGTGAAGAATCCTCAGCATCTGCCCAACTGAAGGGTGTAGACCTAGCCTCCGACTCCAGGTCCCCACTGTAAGTACTGCCCTGGTCTGAACATGAAAAAATTCTAAATTAATCCTAGCATAAACCAAGTGTGTGTGTGTATATATACACACACACACACACACACACACACACGTATTATATATTTATATATAAACATAAATGAAGTGATTATTCACATACCACCATGGGACACCGGCCTGTCTTTACTCTTTTCTGCCTCTTCGTCCTCCACTGAGCTCTGAGAGGGCATGCTGCCTTTAGTGACACTGTCCTGTGTGGACTCCGGGGAAGCTGGCATGACCAGTGGCACGGGTACCTGGAGCAAGACAGTACAAGACAAGATAGCTCAGCCAACAAAACTGGGGTCCTAACAAATTAACAGCCACGAAAACCAATGTAAGCCAATGAATGCTGGATATGTGAATGTTAAATCACGTCAGTACTTTTAAAACATTTTTAAAAAATTATACACAAATAAAATGAAAAATTAAGCATCTCTCTCCCTTCACGTCATTTACAGTTGTGAAATTCAGAATTCAGGCAGGGTACGTATTAAGAAGAGCTTTGCAAAATGCTGTACGGATGTGATTTGACATTTTGGATGAACAAAGTATTCAATAAAAAAAAATCTCCACTATGGCATCTCGATGTGGTGTTGTATAATATAGAAGAACGCTAGACCGCCAGCATTAAGTTTTCTATATTTATAGTTACATATATTTCTTCTTTATGTATCGTAAAAATACATTTTGAACTATTTCGAGAAAAATATGGATTTTAATTAAGACAGTGTATTAAGCCCGATATCAACAGTGCAAGTTCAATGCTTACGTCTAACCATTGAAGGGACAATCAAGACTAAAACTGGCATACTCTCTCATACTCTGGCACACTCTCAGAAAAAAGGTACTAAATTTTCACTGGGGTGGCAGATCTTCAGTACCTTTAGTCAAAGAACAGGATCGTACCATATTCCCTTGCAATTATATTGTTTAACTTGCACTGACTTCATACCTTTAAAACATTATGAGAGGGTACAAATATGTACCTTTCCATAAAAAGGGGCTGTAATGTACCTTTAAAAATGATTTAATATACATAACTGGACCTTAAGACCAATGTTTTATCTTTGAGTGTACATTTACATTGTTTGCTCCTTGGAAAACAAAAACAGGCCTGAACAGTACCCTTTTTTCCCCTCACACCACATGTAATTTGTTCAGCTGTATTCTGTAGGGCTGAACGATTTGGGAAACAGAACTAATTGCAATTTTTCAGACTAATATTGCAACTACGATTTAAACTGTGATTATTTTCTATAAATTAAGGTTCAGGCCTGTTTTTTTTGGCCAGAAAGGCCAGAATATCCACCTTATCTGGCTTGAGGCTTGATCCCTCAATGTAGTGTGCAAGAATGCTAGTAAGTTGTGGTTGTGATGTCACAACACAACATAGGTTTGGTTGCCAGTGATTGGTCTAACTTATCTACAGGCAGTAAGGTTAAATTTCAACACAATATCCAGCATGCATTCCAACTGACAGTGTAGCCACTAATATAGCCGTTAATGAATACAGATGTGTTCTGAAAAAACTTTTAAAACAGCCAACCCTCAAGTATCATCAGAAGAGGGTTTTTCTAGTCTTTAAACTAGGGGTGGGCAATATAACCACTAGTATAATATATCCATAGGTACTGTGATAAATTATGTACCATCATGTTAAAACTGGCTTTTCTGAGCGTATTGTGGATGTTTACAGCGCTTAAGGAACATCTGCTTTATGCTCTCTCTATAACAAACTATATGTTTCATTATACGGACAGAATAATCCAGCCCTGTTAATTGACTAATTAGATTTAGTGCAGAATGTGAAATGTTAAATAATAATGTGCATCATGGAGACGTTTAATGGATCACTGAGAATGTGCGACAACACATCATTCAATATACTGTGAGAATATTGAAACGTGATCCCAGTATTGACTATCATCAGACCCCTATTGTATTGATTTTTTCTGTTAAAAAAAAAGTGGTACTACGGGTTCTACTTTAACTTCTTCAACTTCAGGAAAAAAAGTAGTGTTGTAGCATTATGACATTATATAATATCTTTCATATCGTCCAACCCTACTTTAAAACCATAGAAAAATTGCTAGAGAGACTGCAGCACCGCTGTAGGAGGCGAGTAGGCACGCTTACAACAGAGCAAATTTTTCATTTCAGACACGGTGCCCCTTTAAGTTTATTTACTATGTGCAGAGGGCTAAGCTACGATTCTGTTAAAATTATTTTACTTTTTCCAAAACCTGTCATTTTTGAGAAACAAGGTCTGCAAAAAAGTTCTGTTAATTTGTTAGAGCCCTATGCGCTGCATGCAAAGGAAAAGCTATCGAAGTATGAGCATAACAGAAACTGAGTGGAGGTGAAAGGACCTACAGGCAGAGGAAGTCCTAGGGGCACTGGTGTGAACTGAGTGTACAAGTGCATGGGCACAGGAATGTACACAGGCATTGGAATCGGCACAGGCACCGGCACCAGCTTCACTTTCTCTCCATTTTCATCAACCACTGGGGAAAAAGGAAGAAAGACAGAGCATGTCAAGATACATACATATACGTATATACACACACACCACACACACACACACACTATATATATGGGATGTACATTTCAACTAATTTTGATATCTGTATCTGTTAGAGTTAACGAACAGATGTTCAGTTAACTACAGTGAAGGAAAAAGTAATAACAGAATAAAAAAAAACTGAGCAGAAAAGGGCTAAAGGCTTGTATTTTAGATGACAGCACTGGTGTTAAGAGGCTAAAATCTGAATATACGTTTAATTATTCAGAAACAGCTGAAAAAAAATCAGAAGGTTTTCGTGTCTGATGAGTAACAGAGGCTGCCTATTCAGATGAACAAATGAGCTAACCGGTATGTTGGATGCCGATGAGGACGAGGAACCATGTTAGATTTTCAGAGAAGTCCAGGGTGATTCCAAAAGATTCATCTGATTTCAAAGCGCCATATTTTTACAACTGTGAGGCGCCGAGGAACCAATCACAATCCAATTGAAAGAGGGGGTCATAGAGTTTCTGACTGTCAGTGGAAGATGGCTCCCTTCAGTCTGAGAGGAGATGAGACCCCTGAGCAGAACGCGTTCTGCGTTCTCCACTTCAATAAGAGTGAATCCGTCATAACTGTGGTGGATGATCTCCGAAATCGCATTGAAAGAGCTGTGAGTGCAGCGACACCCGACATGCCCAATCCAGTATGGGATGAATTTGACTGTGGCGTTGATGTTGTCCGTACAGCTGCAGGAGGTTCATACTGAGCACTAAAATTACATAATAAACTTTACGCTCATTTGCTCATTGTGTTAAGCTCACAACGCAGTAAATTGCACCATTTACAGTTCACTACATTGTTCTGTAATGATTTACAAGTGAAATAAATCATTTTGAAATCGGATGAACCTTTTTGAATCACCCTGTATTGTCCCTGTCAGTTTCTAACATTGGACACTGAATATAAACAAGTGATTCAGTTTGGTTTGATGTGAAATTTTCTGTTCTAGAGAAACTTCTGAATTGTTCACAGAGGTGGCGATGGGAACCAGACATCCGAAGAGACATCTGAAAAAAATCTGTAAGGTTCTCTCCAATGAACCATTTCACAGGAAACCACTCTGAAAGACTTTATTCACATCTCAATAATTAAATTATGCAAAAAAAAAAAAAAACCTGCTGATTTCTCCTTTAACAGCGCAACACGCTCACTTGTGTTTCGTAGTAGCAAATTGTATACCTACTACATTTTTCAAAAAATACGAGCAAAACTGATTTTTACAGGCCTATTTAAAAAAAAAATCAATTAAAAAAATATTAATAAAAAAAATAATCACAGAATTGTTATTGTTGAATTGTTGTCCCCCTGACTTGAATCATAACTAGGGTGAAAGACTTGGGCAAAATTAATAATCGCGATTTTTCTGAGCACTATTGTATTGAGATTTCCAAAGATAGTTATTTTCTATAAATTGAGATCCAGTAAAAAAAAAAAGAACCAGTAGTACTACACGTAAAAATTACCATAAACTGTGAACACAATGGTTGTTATTCATTTTTGGCATATTATGTTTTACTAAATCCAGTTAAACAGGACTAATTTTGCTCTCTTTTTAGTGAAACGCACAGTTGGGTCAGTGTTCCCAGTGTTAGAAGTACTGACAATATCAATGATATGTTTAGAAAAGCATACGGTATATCATTGTGACATAATTTATCACAATAATGATATACTGCAATACTGCCCAGCCCCTAAGCTAGTAAACTGCAACTTTACAAATTGGGATTTAAATATAAAAATAATTTAGCCCTAATTGTAATAAATACCCAAATAGTGATTTCAGTACTCAAATACTGACACCTCGAATGGTCAGCTGGGTGCATGACTAACCCTGCACACCCTTAGCAAATATGGTATGTGTCCGCGGTCAAACCAATTAATAAATAAATAAACAAGCCTGTATGGCAGTGTTTTTCAGACCCTTATCCAGTTATTATGAAGCTTTTAATAACAACTCAGGTCTGCTAGAGCCAAGAAAGCACAGAAGTATGTAGTATAAACCACAGACATACAGAAAACAATTTAACCTGTCTCAAACAGCGGTTTTGGAGGCTCAAGTTGACACTGGACGCCCTGCTCTTCAATGATAGGTTTGCACATCAGAGCTTTGTTCTTCAGCATCCGTCGCTGATGAGGACTAACATTCACTGCAGCATCTGTCTGGGTGCTGGCCTAGGAGACAAACAATAAGGGTTTACAAAAGCATCATCGTAGTGTACAGGTGCAAAGCCAATCCCACGTAAAAGGCATCATACTCACATCACCGATGATTTTCGAGCTGGCATTAGAGGTAGGAAGTGCTCCTAGAAATAACAATTACAGGTTACAGCGGTGCTTTTTATTTCCAAACTGCAGATTTTAATTAATGTAGACGCACATATTAATAGAGATGGCACCAAACCTTTTACCTAGTACTGATATTGGGCCAATACCAGAGGAAAATGCTGAATGGATATCGGAAGAAAAAAAGAAAAATCCCTGTAATCAAATTTGCCTGAAATATCACAGAACTGTTTGTAGAGCGATATAACGGAGTCTAGTAGGTTGTGATAACAGTAGCCTAATTGGTAACTTACAAAGAAAAAAATTGATTGTTATCAGTATCACCCAATATTTAAGGCTTCAGTATCGGTATCGTGCCATCTCTACATGTTAACGTTAACTGGAGCTGAGGGTACCTGTAAGAGCAGTGTTACCAGCCAGCGCGGATGCCAGTGAAACAACACCACCGATGACAGGCATGTCTTTAGAGAGAGACAATGGCGCTTGGGCTGCAGTGGCAGAAGTGGTGATACCTGTAGTGATGAGGCAAAAAAAAACAAACTCATTAATTGCTTGAACGTTCATTCATGAACTGGTGCAAATCACTGCAACCAGCTGTTTCACTGATTCTGTATTGCTTTATTTATTTCAGCTGCAGTTTGAAGCCAGAAGGATGATTTAAAGCCCTTTCAGAGCAGAATTAACAATAATAATAATAATAATAATCTTTATTTACATAGCACTTTTCATGTCAGTGGAAGCTGAAAGTGCTTTTACAGACAGGAGATAATGCTTCACAGTAATTCAAGAAATTATGGGTACTAATTTAAAATTATAAAAATAAATAAATAAAAAGATTTCAATTTGCCTGGGTATATACTACAATTTACGCTGTTTCCAACAAGATCCATGTATTTAATCCAGTGTGAATCTGCAGTGTGTGTAGTTTTACAGTCTGACAGTAATAATTGTGGAGTGATTTTAATCCAGTATGAATCTGCAGTGTTTAGTTTTACAGTCTGACAGTAATAATTGTGGAGTGATTATAATCCAGTATGAATCTGCAGTGTGTGTAGTTTTACAGTCTGACAGTAATAATTGTGGAGTGATTTTAATCCAGTATGAATCTGCAGTGTTTAGTTTTACAGTCTGACAGTAATAATTGTGGAGTGATTATAATCCAGTATGAATCTGCAGTGTGTGTAGTTTTACAGTCTGACAGTAATAATTGTGGAGTGATTTTAATCCAGTATGAATCTGCAGTGTGTGTAGTTTTTACAGTAATAAGTGTGGAGTGAATGCTTTCACTCAGTAACAGTAGGCTCTGTTCCAACCCAACTCATGCTAATGGAACATAAACAGGCTAATACTAACAAAACCGGCTGTGCTGTTATTTACTGTGTCCTGTGGTGTAAAGCTGTCATGAATATCTGCGCCATGACTTTTCAAACTGGACTTTGAGGGAATTTGGGGAAAATACACTGATATTTTATCCCTAAACAACCAACAAATACAATCTTGATGAATTACAAGAGAGAACCTCCACTGATTAAACTAATCCAACTCCAGCAGGGCTTCAGAAAACAACGGCTGAGATTATAGTGAAAAAGAACACAGCTAAATTGCTGGTTTCAGAAACGTACCGTTGCTGTTGGGTTGGTCTGGGACAACACTCTTGGAGCAAAACTGCAGCACGCAGCGCAGGTTGCAGAAGTGTTTTATTGTTCCGTCCCACTTGAGGCTCTCACTTAGTGTCCCCTGAGTCTTACACCAATAGCACTTTGCCATCTGTTGATACAAACAAGGAGGACATGACATTTTGCACAGCAAACCGCAGCACAACAAAGGTCTAAAACGTTTTATTTGCTTTAGTGGACCACAACAAACTGTAATAACACATTTGCAATTCTTCTGTTCCTTTAGTTCCCATCTCTCACTTTGACGGAGAACCTATGAGATGGTTCTAACTTTACATCACTTCCTACTGGATTTATCAGAATATTTCTCAAAGATGTTCGAGCTCTAAGCTTCTTTGTTGTATCTTGTCATAAAATCTCATTAGATGTCATTCTCTCTTCATTCGGGGTCGACCAGAGGAGGATGGGTTCCTCCCTTGAGCCTGGGTTCCTCTTAAGGTTTCTTCCTCTTACTCCTAAGAAGTTTTTCCTTGCCACCGTCGCCTCTGGCTTGTTCATGGGTGGCTTGGACGCGGATTTAGTTCCTTACGTCTATACATGGACTCTTCTTTTGATAACCATAAACTGTTTCCTTCTATAACCTGCTTTTCTGTAAAGCTGCTTTGAGACAACACTAGTTGTAAAAAGCACTATACAAATAAATGTTTTTCCTAATACGAAAGATCATTAGTAAATTAGTAAATTATCAGTGGCAGGTTTTTGTTGCAGAATCTATGGCCATAGTTGGGACTTATTGGCCAATAACTACAGAAACATGTTTATCATACATACATTATATTTATAAATAACAAGGATGCTTTAGTACCAAAAAAAACACAAGGGGAATGCAAGTAAATTTTCTGTGTCATTTAAAGAGAAGAAACAGCCATGAATCCACTCCAGCAGGTGCTCACAAACACGTGATGGATGATTGTCTTGATGGACGATTGTCTGTCGAGCTCTGAACTTGCCTTGGACTAGCTGCCCACCCTACACTGAAGTTTTCATGGACTCCTAACTATTACTACTACTATTAATATTAGTAGTGTAATAATTTTGTAGTTAGTTTGACCAGAGGAGGATGGGTCCCCCCTTGTGAGCCTTGGTTCCTCCCAAGGTTTCTTCCTCAGCTCTGAGGGAGTTTTTCCTGGCTTGCTCACCTGGAGGATTTACATTTCATGTTAAAACTTTGTCCTTAATGGATTTCTGTAGCTGCTTTGTGACAACATCAGTTGTAAAAAGCGCTATACAAATAAATTTGACTTGACTTGTTTGCAGACATTTAAAAAAAAACGAGCTGAAAAAATGAATTAATAATTGCAATAAATGCATTAAATTAGTAACAGAGGCTATAATGGATAAGTATATATCTACCTGACTCACAGATCTCTAAACTGATCTCTGACTCTTGCCGTGTTATCAGACCACATGTTCTGGATTATTATGTCTCTGAGGCGAATGGCGATGCTTTGAAGGTGAGGACACACACATATTAGCGTTTACTCAGTCGGTGCTTTGCAAATGAGACAATCGTGACTGCTGTGAAAAACGGATCAAAAAATGGTTTGCGGGAATTGAATCCTGAGATTTCGAGCTTTTGCACATTATACTGCATTACTGCGTTGCTGGACAATGTGATGCATACAAATGATATTTAAGTGGACTTTGATGGAAGTGCGCCAGAACTAGTACAGTAATCTAGATAAGGTTAAACTGGTCTGGCTCTTAGTGAATGCACTAAGGCATAATATACACTACATAGACAAGAGTACTGGGACACCTACACATTACAACTACAGGCGCTTTTATGAATCCCATTCTAAATCCATAGGCATTAATATGGAGTTGGTCCCCCTTTGCAGCTCTAACAGCTTCCACTCTTCTGGGAAGCTTCTACAAGATGTTGGAGAGCGTCTGTGGAACTTTTTGCCCATTCATCCAGAAGAGGTCAGACACTTACGTTGGGCAGAGAGTCTGGCTCACAATCTCCGTTCTAGTTCATCCCAAAGGTGTTGGATGGGGTTGAGGTCAGGGCTCTGTGAGGGCCAGTCAAGTTCTACCACACCAAACTCACTCAGTCAGGCCTTTATGGAGCTGCTTTGTGCACTGGGGTTCAGTCATGCTGGAACAGAAAAGGTTCTTCCCCAAACTGCTACCACAAAGTTGGAAGTATAGAACTGTCCTAAATGTCTTGGTGCTGAAGCATTAAGATTTCCCTTCACTGGAACTAAGGGTTCTAGACCAACCCCTGAAAAACAGGCCCATATCATCATCCCTCCTCCACCAAACTTTACAGCTGGCACAGTGCAGTCAGGCAGGTAACGTTCTCCTGGCATTCGCCAAACCCAGACTCGTCCATCAGACTGACAGATAGAGAGGCTGATTCATCACTCCACAGAATACGTTTCCACTGCTCCAGAGTCCAGTGGTGGCGCTTTACACCAGTCCATCAGACGCTTGGCATTGTGCTTGGTGATGTAAGGCTTGCATGCAGCTGCTCAGCCATGAAAACCCTGCCATGAAGCTCCCAGCACACAGTTTTGTGCTGATGTTGATGCCAGAAGAGGTTTGAACTCTGCAGTTATTGATGGCTTTCTATTACAGTACCACACCCGAATTCAGTGAGCTTTTCAGAACGACCCATTATTTCACAAATGTTCACAAAAAGGCAGACTGCATGACTAGGTGCTTGATTTTATGATTAAGAGGTGTGTCCCAATACTTTTATCCATACAGTGTACTTGATGTGGGCAGTCTTTTGGTTGTACAGAGTATTTTATAACAGCTTCTCATTACCAAAGCGCCACATTTGAAAAACGAAACTCTGTTGTATAATTACTGATTCAGAGCTCAAGAAGCGATGATTAAAGCACCCAAATGTCAAAACAGTTTCAAATAGTCTGCTGCATGTACAAAAAAGTTCTGCAGAGAGGAGACAATGGTTCGTTGTGTGTTTGGTTCATTTAGATGTCTTTGGCTCATTTTGACTTGTTTGGAAGCAGACCAAGATCGACCTCCTCAGAGCGTCTCGGTCCAATTATCTGGCGCACTACAGCTTAAAAGGCAGCGTTCTCATTTATTCTAACAAACCGCACTAACAGAGCAACCGCATCAGGGTTGGTTTTAATCAAATCATCTCTCACCTCATAGAAGAGAACAGTGTAGAGAGACATGCACTCTTCAGTGCAGAACTCCTCCAGCTTGCCCCCAAAGTGGTTCTGGATGGTGCTGTGGGTCATGTTGCAGCAGTAAGCACAGATCCTGCACTGGCTCCCATGCTGCTTGGAAAGGTCATGCTTGAAGAGCAGTTTGCAGCCTGTTACAGGGAAAAGAGGACATGGAGACACATTAAAAAGTGCTGAGTGAGTATAACTAGAGCCGGACACTGAGACTGGCATAAATAATCAGTCAGAACTTTAATGAGAAAGAAAACAGAATGAAAATAATAAGAACTATGCATAAAAGTGGAACTCACCTTCGCAACAAAAGGCCCGTGGCTTATGTTCGTACATAGTGATGTCCTTGAGCACTTTTTCTTCTTTGCAGTACTCGCACACTGCTCTAACGTCCTTCTCCCTCTTGTACGTGTCACAACACAAGCGTGAGCAGAAAAGCCCAACGTGATTCTGTAACAAAGACACGTGCATATAATGGAAAATGAGACCACTTTATGGGCCAATCTTCTTTATTTTTTCTATGAAACTCAGATCAGTGCAGTTTTACTTCCCAAAAAGAGCTGTAAATTATTGTGACTGCTTTCCGAGCTCTTTTTATCCCTTAGAAATAAGCAGGCTGTTTTTAAGACTGGGACCAGACTGAACACTCCTTATAAGCAGGGCTGAACTGCTATAGCACTGCCACATGGCTGGTTATTAACTAAAAAAAGGGGTTTCTACGTATGGATTGTATAGACAGTACATTCTGAAACTTAAGTGTTTACATACTACATCAAACAGCTATAAATAACTTAAAACTAAATTATATTTTGTTTAAAAAGCAAGAATTTTCCTGAGGGAAATCAGTTTAACCAGTGAAAGAGCATTTTCAGACATAATATAGGTACTACTGCAGAAGAAGAAAAAAAAATAAAATAAAAAATAATAATAATAATAATAATAATATCTTTATAGCACTTGCTTTACAAATGAATATGTAAAACAAGAGATCTATATGAAACAAAAGCACTACAAACAATAGGAAAAAATAAATCACAATATTAATTAATTAATTCATACATAAGTGCATCTGGAATATGCAAATATATGAATACCGTCGCTGGAAAAAAAACAAAACACATATCTTTACAGGGCTACGCAGGAAATGAGGAAAAAAGTGTTCTCAACTTTCAATGCAAGTTAATGAAACAAGATCTAATTCTTGAGTCAAACTGTCTCATTTCTAGTGGTAGATTCCTCATGAAATTGTGACACAGTGAAAACAGTAGCTTTTTAAATTATGTAAAATCATCCATGTGTGTGTATATATACATATACATAAACACATACATACATACAGGGGGATTCACTCGAAAGAGGCCCCAAATACTGTGTAATAACTCTCGCTAGGACGAAGCAATCTGAACCAAACAACATACAACGTGCCCCTCAGTATATGGAGCTTCGAACAAGCCGGGTTCCCCCTGCGTCGGACTGATGAGGTATGCCTTTTTAAATAAGCATCCAACACAGAAAACCACAAAACGTACCAGCAGATCAAGTCCTACCTTAAACTGCAGGACCTCAGGTTTGGAGCGGAACTGCTTCTGGCACTGTTTGCAGGTCAGCCTGATGGTGCTTTGTGCTGAGGCTGGAGCGTCTGGCTGCTGATCCTGGCTGTCCTGTGGGTTTGCCAGTCCAGGTGCTGGCACATATGGTGGAATGGGGTTTTGATTTGAGGTAGGCACAAAAGATGGAGGATTCTGGCTCGAGGCGGCCATATAGGAAGCAGAAGGGTTAGGAGCATTAAGAGGTGCAGGGGGACGAGATGACACGGAGTACTGGGGTCCACGAGGGCCCATATTTGGGGTGGTATTTGGAGCAACTGCGGAACCTCCATTCATTTGGGTTGGTGCCCTTTGTAGCTTCTCCTACAAGCAGAAAGATTAACACACAAATTTCACACAAATCCTCACCAGCATTCGTTCAAGAGCTGCACTATATATCATATATATTGAATTGGGGCATGTTAACTTGAGAATAATATTATATATATTGACACTCTCAATGCGCACTTTTGACTGTAAACACTGCTGCTACTCCTAGTTATGTCTATACTCATTGTGCTGTAACTACCTCATACCACTTAGTGCTAAACCTGCTCTCACGTAAATACAACAAATCTGTCTTCTATGCTATGTAAATATGCAATAGATATACTTTATTCCTACTCTCTCATAGTTTACTCTTTACTCACTGACATCTAATTTATGTCTGTTTTTATTCCTATTTTTATTTCTGCCTAATATATATAAGTTTATGTGCAATTATATGTCTTGCTACTGTAACACTGCGATTTCCCTTTGGGATCAATAAAGTTCTACCTATCTATACGGCCTGTAATATCATTGCTTTATTAAGCAATAGAACACGAGAGGGAGTGTGTAATTGCGAAAATAACACCAGCTGTGATTTGGTCTCCGTAGATCATCACAGCCGTGATGTTATTGGCGATAACACACTCCTCGAGTGTTCTATCGCTTTTATACAACAGTTAAATAAATAAAGTAATAAATTAATAAACTGGGCCGTGAACACGGCGTTTAATATGTTTTAATGTTCGCAGCTCCTTCACCAAATTATAGCTCCTTAACAAGCAGCTTGTTGCTACGTCAAGGTAATGAACCCCACTCACTCGCTGCTCAGTCTGCTGTAAGCCTCGCCTTTTGAAGTACAGACTGAGCCGTAAAACTGCCACAATATCAAGTTCAGCTCAGTTTTGTCAGCTTTTGCCAGATCAGTATTAATGTTGTTTTGTTCCAGCCAGTCTGTAAAGCATCTTACAGCCCATTTAGTTTGGCGAATGGTGTTGGGTTCATTTCTGGCTGATTCCAGGTTGTTTCAGCTGTTCTTCTGTCACAGCTGCCGACTGAAAAGCTGCTCAGTGGTGATGACAGTTTGGGAATTTAGCGTCGTCTCATCTTCAGAGTCTGACCAAATCGGCTGTCGGTCAAATGTGATCTTAAAAGTGTCCATTTTCTGTTTGTGGCAAAGTAAGAAAGTAAAAACGTTCACATGTCCTGAAACGGCCAAAGTCGTTGCTTAGCAACGGCGTCTCAGTGTTTGTGAAAAAACGTGATGTTATGGCGAAATAACAGCACAGTTAGAACGCTTCTCAACCAATCAGCTTGCATGGCCGGAACTAACTGTTATATAATAATCTATAATTCTTAGCGTTGTGGCACATTTTTTGGCCATTTTAACACAACTTTTAAATTTGTGTGCATAAATAAATATTTGATCCTAACATGACTGGTTGTACAGTAGACACTAATGCGCTTATGCGAAATACCTGGAATCTGCAAGCACACTCGTACGAACAAAAGTTGCGGATGGATCCATCAGGCATAGCCAGGTGATACTGAGGAACAGCTAACTTCTGGCAGTTTGTACATGGGAATGAGGCACCTGTGTAAAAAGCACAATGGTGATTAGTGTTAAGATGAAAACATCTGTACACACATTTCAAGTTACTTTTCAAGTTATTTTTAGTGTGAAATTCAACAATTCGTATTTGAAATCAGACAATGGGTATGATTATGATTTTGTTTCATTTGCTTGTACTCCAGTAGTGCCAGACTGAAAATCTGTGAATCTTTCCGAGTAGCATTCAAAGTACAGGGAGATTCAGTCGAAAGAGGCCCCGAATATTCTGTAATAACTCTTGCTAGGATGAAGCAATCTCAACGAAACAATGTGCAATGTGCTCCTCAGTATATGGAGCTTCGAACAAGCCGGGATGGCCCTGCGTCGGAGCGATGAGGCTGTGCATCACAGGCCCCGTCTTCATTTACACTGATGTGTACCTGGACGATCGTGAGTTAATGGAAGGTTACTTCAAGCAAGATGGAGCAACGTGTCCTTCTTCGTCAACAGGGTAATTTCAAAGTGGCTTTGGCCACCATGGTCGCCGGATCCGACACCACCAGACTTCTTCCTTTGGGGTACGCTCAAAGGAAAAGTCTATCAGAACGAGCCTCACACTGTGGAAGATTTGAAGGAAAACAAGCAACGTGAATTTGCTGTTATTCCCCCCAATATACTTGCCGATACATTCAGGAACATGGAGTGATGAGTCTAAATGTCTCTGGCAGAAAACGGAGATCACTTCCAGCATCGCATGTAATGCAATCGATTACACATATGTCAACGTATGTAGTGAATTTTTTTGGTTCAGACTGCTTCATCCTAACAAGAGTTGGAACAGAATATTTGGGGCCTCTTTCGAGTAAATCTCCCTGTATGTTTGTTTGTAGTTAATTAGCTGGTAAAGCTGTTAGGATAGCCTATAATTAAGGGCAATCTTCGCAAAATTTTAGGGAGAAAATATACAAAAAATGATCATGTGCCACATAAATGAGAATGAAAGAGCAATTCTTTATCAGTTTGCATTTGTTTAAATTGATGCAATATTTGATATCAAAAGTATAAATACTAGGGCAGTAAAAATGCATCTGAATATGCTGATTCATTTAGAAATGCTAGCATCAATTATAATAATGCTGTATCAGTTAAATCCCCAGGATACTTTTAAACAGCGTCTTATTTTGTTGTTTATATAATTGATTTCATCTTTTACATAGATGTCTTGAGTGAAGAGCTTCAAAAAAAAAGCAAATTGAAGTTAATAACAGTGTATTTTTCTCATTTCATGATGCATTCAGTAATTTCTTAAAGAATCATAACTGAATCGTTTTGAGTTCAGAGATCTACTTCCTTAATCAGGTACCCAAACACTGAAATTCACCCTATAACCTCAGTAATCATGGTTTCTTTGCTGGAATACAGAACAAGAACTTCATCACTCACCTGCAGACTGCCCTGCGAGCTAATAAAGAGTGAGGTGTAAATGTACCTGAGAGAGTGCGAGACGCCTGGCTGTTGGTCACGCATCTGGAGGAACAGAAGAACTCGATGACTCCCTGTGCGTTCGTTCCCTCCAGCATCTGGTCCACAGATTTAAACTCGTGACAGTAGGGGCAGTGAACTCGCTTCCCACTTTTCTGCAGAGTGCAACAAGCTGAATTAGTTACATAAACGCCAACTAGAAAAACAAAATACATATTACTGAACAGAATGAATCCGAGCAGATTCTGTAACAAATCTAGCCAGAAATATTACAAAATAGCACATAAGTCAATATAAACAAAAAAAGAAAGTGGGCACATCATAAATCACATAATGCACATAAAAAGCTGCAGCTGTTGGCTCCGTATGTACCTACTATCTGTAGTGTACCAAAGTGTGAGAGTCGTTTGAGGAAGGTTCTTTCCGATGGGCTTAAATGAATAACAGCTAATTTTAAAGCTGTCAGTTGTGGTATCTTATCAGCTGATACTCAGCGTCTCAGTATTGGAATAGAAAAGGTAACATTTTAAAAAATTACGGGAAAAAAAAAGGTTTTCTTCAAACCTGTTTATATGTGCTGATGCAGACTGGGCTGCAGAACTTTTTAACAGCATCCTCGATCTGTACGAGATGATAGTTGCCCGTGACGGTGCAGTTACCACAACTCTCACAGCAGCTCATGGACAGTCTTTTGGACGAGCGGAAACGGGAGAAACATTCGTCACTGCAGAGGCGGTGAAGGACACCCTGATGATTGACCTCGTGTTGGATCTGAAAGAGACAGGGGAGAGAGAGAAAGAGAAAAAGCGAGGAGAGAGCGAGAGAGAGAGAGAGAGAGAGAGAGAGAATGAATTAATTATACTTTGTAGCTGGGCAATATTTATTTTCAAAATCGTTTAGAGGTCTTTTTTTAAATATCACATATTTAAAAGGACCTTAAATTCCAGCGATTTTTTGAAATTTCTAAACAATTCAGTGGTTGAGATGTAGTCATTGAGGGTGAGCTGATGTGAAGTGGCTCATCATTGAGAAAACTAGCAACGCAAATTTCTTTGCAGTGACCATCGCAATGTTTACAACGCAAATATAGCTTGTTTTTGCCCAAGACAACCAGTGAACCTACACGTCTTCTAAATTATTATATGTAATGTTGAAAAGGGCTAAATAGTGGTAAATCATTGGGTACTACTTATAACACCATGCATGTATGTCTCAGCCATGAACAGTTTAAAAAAAAACATTTTAAACCAGGCAGTGTATTTATAACCATTTCATAACTAATTCAGACATGAATTAGTACATGATATATACACTGAATAAGAATTAAACATGATAAAATGCAATATTAAGGTAAATTACTTTAGGTTTATATTTCTATTAGAGTTTGAATGATAATACTCCTGGTTACCATTAAAAAAATAATTTGACTAACATGAATTTTAGACGTCCTAAACAGTCAGAAATGATAAAGTCTGCTGGAGGGACTTCAGACATAGATTTAAGGTAATTTGCCATTATGGCTGCGATGCTCTCAGTCTGAACCAGCAATATTTTTGTTTAGAGACAGTGATTGGCTACTTACTTGCACCCACGTTTTATATCTCTCTCTCTCTCTCTCAGTCAATCAAATCAGTCAATCAATCTGCTAGAGAAATGTGACTGAATCCAGTTTCCAGTCCTGGATTTTCTCATTTTACAGTATCATATTTTGTCTTTCTTTTATAAAAGAATTACAGCCCTTGTGGCTTTTTGCTTTATTTGAACGCAAACAGGCACGAGACAAAAACAGCTCTCATCTTTATCGCGGCACAGTTTAGTTATCTCCTGTTCAACACGTCTGAGCCAATTCAAGAAAATGACAAACCTTAAATTTTTTGTAAAACCACTGTAAAAGCCTACGACTAAGACTAAAAACAGAAGTGCATTACAATATTTTTAGTTCTGGCTGAAACTGTAACCTAAACCTATAAATGCAGGTTTACACTTCAACCTCTCATTCTCATAAGTACATAAATTAAAGGAGTTTCTTCAGTTAAAAAATTTAATATTGACAGTTATTTATAAAAAGAAAGAACAGAAGTTGTTATGCTAATATAACAGCATTCCTACACCTGCGTAACATGTGCGTACATGCACAGGGGAGCATTCTGAACACCCGTTGTCTAAAATGACTGCCATCAACGTCCAATTCTGTTCACTTTTATAGCTCACAGTAAGTAATAGTGTCCTAAACCAGCGTTTCTCAACCTGTGGGCCGAAGACCAGCAGTGGGCTGTGAAGCACCCTCTAGTGGTCCGCAGGCCTGTACTCAGGGGGAGGCAGTAGTTCGCAGTGGGCCGCAGTGGGCCAGTAGTGACGTGTAAATGAAAACACCACAGTCGCTGGCTTATTAAACATCAGTCTGAGACAACGCAGCCACCGGCGCACAGTGCAGACAGTCAGAGACTGAAAGGTCTCTCAGGGCTGTTTCTCCTACCTTGCATGTGTCAACAAACAGCGGCAAAACCTGCAGGACTTCATCTGCTTCAAACCGAACCCTGCTCAGTTCATTTTCTGATTAAATGAAGGAATTCATTAACAGAGCTGACTTTCCTCTTCTATCAGCCCATCAGCGCCGAATACTGTCAGCATAATCTGCCTGTTTAACGTCTGACTCTTTACAGACCCTCATATCGTTCCTGCAGCTCGAGCTGCTGCTGATAAAAACAACAGACGAGCCTTAAAACAACAGCGAAGATGTGCGTTTGATTTCTGGCTGAACATCAGCGACCTGAGTAGTTAAACTCAAACTGATAAACTAATGGCAAAGAAGCAGAGATCAAGTAAGGTTTATTATTAGTGAAGATTGTGGCAACGGTGGTCCAGAAGCCCCCTGAGTGGAGTGAGGTTTACTTCACATTATGAGCTAAAACCCTCAAACTTAAAGAGACATCTTGACACCGAACAGTCACCGGGAGCCACAAGAGTATTTTCAGTGAAAACGCGATTGACTGCAGCTCCAAATGACAATCCACATGTATTTTCGTTTCCCCCTTTTTCGTCCTCTTTGCACACATATGGTTTTTAAATATGTTCAGTGTAAGTGCAAATTTTGGTTTCTGTGATTGAAGTGAAATAGACGATCTGATCTTCTTCAGGCTCTAATTCAGAGGTTTTCAGTGTGAGCAATTAAGAAACAAGAAACTGATTTTAGTTTCCTGTCGGCCGCTGTGCTTTATAGCAGAGGTGTTTATTTAAAATTCAATAAGGTCCAGTTAGAGAAAATCAACTGGACATCTAAGACGTGGAGTGAGGTTTTATGGACTGATGAGTCTAAATTTGCAGTTGGGAGGATGAGTAGCAGAAAAGTCAACCAACTTCTAAGACTGAACTTTGGAGGTGTGTCTGCAGATTCTTTGAGAGACTGAAAGTGAGTCTCCTGAATAGAACAGAAGCTGTAATAAAGGTAAAGAATGGACACACCAAATACTGAACAATGAGACATTCTAAAAAAAAAAAATTTAGAAAAAATTTCCTCAAGCAAAGGTCCAGAATATCATCGTCTAACTTGCATTATGATTCAGTGCCACATACTGTAAACTGAAGTAGCCTAGTAGGTATATCAACATCTTATACAGTCAACAACTGAATATCAAATCAAATAAAGTACAATTCGGTCATATTTCAACAATGTTTATTATCAGTTTTCTCTTTTCAGATCACGCCATGTGAAATAACTTCCCTCTGACTCACTTTCTTCTCCGACTGCTGTTTCTTGCCTTGTCCCTCCCCTGTGTGTGCATCACTCACTCGAGTCTCAACTCCTTGTAATGCACAGATCTGATTGGCTGAGTAGCGTCACGTGTGATATTTACAACGCATGTGATTGGTCTGTGAGTCTCCCGGGCCGCTAAAGCTACCGTACAGGCTGGAAATGATACGCAGATAAAAATACAACCACCCCAACGAAACTAAATAATTCTCCATAGTTTATCGGTTATAGATCCAGGTCCGCATAGGACAGCGTCTGGGTCCGGACTCGGACCGCGGTTCGCCTAATAGTGACCTCTGTTTTATAGTTATACACAGGTGGGCCTTGCGGTGGAAAAGGTGGAGAACTCCTATCCTAAACCACATCAAGAAGCCTGTGTAACCTTAATGAAGACCTATATGCAGCTTGAGTTGGCTGAGTGAAGTTTTGGGGATGTATTGACGGATTTGAATGATTATTGACAAGGTTTGAGTGACTACTGACTTCTAGATTTTGTTAGCAACATTAGCATAGTAGCTCCAGCTCTAAAATAAGCATGTCTTGGCTGATTGACTACATCTAGAACAACGTATAAAATTTGATGTTTATAATTTATTATTATAATTTATTAAATGAAAGTCATCTAGGGATTAAAAATAAATAAAAAAAACAACACAGATTGAATTTTGAAAGTTTTCCTTCTTTTTTCTCCCAAAACGACAAAGTAAAACTGCTTACCTCACTGGGATTTCTGCACATGGTGCATCTAACAATGCTGTCTTCATTAAAGCCCTCAACCCTGGATCTATAGATGGTCAGGCAGGCCTGGCTACAAAACTCCTTCAACGTGTTCGAAGAATCCACTGGAACGGTTATCAAGTCCTTTGGATTCCCAATCACCCTTAAGATGAGGATAAAAGAAAAATCCACATTAAAATACATTCTAACGTACCTTACATGTGAAACTTTCAGTTTTATTTAAAAGATTTTTGACAGATTAAAAAAAGCTAATTGCAACAAATGAGGGGGGAAATCACTTGGAGATGATTCAAGCAGGTGACTCACTTGAGGCAGAGGTGGCAAGTTTTCTTTGGGGCAATACTGATGGTTGGAGGCAGGTTGAATCCAGTCAGACAGACAGTGGAGCAGAAGAGCTGGTTAGAGCCTTTCCTCTGGAACGCTGTTTGGCCTTTCTGCAGGACCTTGGAGCAGCCTGAGCAGCAGATTCGTATTGATGCAGGAGGAGGCTGGGGCTGCAGCTGAGGCTGAAGCTGGAGCTGGGGCTGAGGCTGGGTCTGGAGCTGGAGTTGCGGCTGAGGCTGGGTCTGGAGCTGGAGTTGGGGCTGGAGCTGGAGCTGAATCTGGGCCAAGGGCTTGGCTTGGAGCTGAGGCTGCGGTTGGGCTGGCAGAACCATAAGAGGTGCTTTAATGGCTGAAGTTGACTGACTCATGGTAGAGAATGCAGGCGGCTGTGAGACTGCAACAGAACCTATTGAGAAGAAAGCAGTCACTAGGGCTGGGTATCGAAATCCAGTACCAAATTAATTTACATTACCAAGTATCAAAATATTTTTAGTCATACTATATTTTGTTTAATTCAGTCAAAACAGCCATCAGGTTATTCATTTTCAGTGTCAGAAAAAAGCAGAAGACATATTTAACAGAAAATCACAAACATCCTCCAACACTGAATATCAAATCAGTATTTAATTGGTTCTCCTTTATTTTTTTCCAATTTAAGTCTTCCATCCCTCCAATCTTAGAACCAACCAGTTGCAGTTCAACAAAAACTGCTCTCAAAGAAGTCACTGATATTGTGTTTCCCTTCAAAGAGACACTAAGGCCCACTGCCATTTCACCCCTCGCCCCTACCACTTAGCCCTTAGCCCTCTGTTTTGCACGTTCAGGTCTAGGGGTAGGGTGTACCAATTTTTGTTGAGATAGAGGGGTAGGGCGAAGTGTTAGGGCTACGGACGCGTTCGGCCATTTCTTTCAAAATCTCTTCTAACGCGGAGGGTTTTGGATACGTCTTCTAATTCTTTGGTACAGAAACATCACGTGGAGCTGGATTGGCGTGATCTGTTCAGACTGAGTCGCATCGCCGCAGATCGGATACGTATCGGATTTCAGTACCACATATGAAAGCGTCTGAAATCGGAATTGAAAATCAGTGTGTTTTTCCATTCACAGTGACACATCTGTGTCACATATGAGGAAAAAGATCAGATTTGGGCCACTTTTACCTGCTGTGTAAACAAAGCCTAATATAAACAGAAAACCCACCTCAGCTGCCTCTCACATTTCTCTCTCACGAGCATCTAAAATTGCTAGAGATTTTTCCGAAGAGATTAAACACAGGATAATCCACTTGCATAAAGAAGGAGAAAATACAAAAAAGTGATAAAACAGAAATTTCCCCAAACCTAGAGAAAATGGACCTTCTAAGAACCGTGCAAAACCTAGCAGACCATCAAAACTGTCCCCATCAGATATACACCACTTAAAGCTTTCATCTTTGAGAGAGAGGAGAAAATCAACTGGACATCTAAGATGTGGAGTGAGGTTTTATGGACTGATGAGTCTAAATTTGCAGTTGGGAGGATGAGTAGCAGAAAAGTCAACCAACTTCTAAGACTGAACTTTGGAGGTGTGTCTGCAGATTCTTTGAGAAACTGAAAGTGAGTCTCCTGAATAGAACAGAAGCTGTAATAAAGGTAAAGAATGGACACACTAAATACTGAACAATGAGACATTCTAAACAAAGGTGAGATATTAAGTTTAATGCAGTGATAGAAAAGACAAAATAGGAAAATCAGCCAGTTACAGACAAATCCCACACTAATAAGGAGCTGACAGACTGTAGAAAGTGGTAAAATGAACTGATGCAACTATTGCAATTTCCCTATCTGGGTGCACAAACAAGCAAACAGAAATAGAAGGTGATGAGACGAACTGTTTGAGTGAGTGACTGTTGTGATTGACACAAAGATTCATCAGCTAATTCACTTGGTGGGTTTACCTTTACACACATTGGCTTTAATAATAATTAGCAGCATGTATTTTAGTGCAGTGTTGCCTAATCATTTTCTATTTATAGATGGTGTCAGTCCACTCACCAGAAATGGGATCACCAGCTCCTCTAACAGAGAACACAGAACTGATCCTCAGCTCATCTGGAGGTGTTGCTATCTAAAACAAAAGTATATAGAGGGTAAAATAATGTTAATCCAGTACACATATTCTATTACAGAGAGAGCAATCCTGACTCAAATAACAGAGTTTAAAAATTAATTAATTAAAAAATCTCACCCCTTCTTGTACCAAAACTGTGTAACCCAATTAGGGCTGCAATAAACAACTAATTTGATAGTCGAATAATCGATCATTCGGATTATGAATTGCTGAATCAAATAACTTTTGTAGGTATCTGCTTTTAGATTTAGCTTGAGGTTGTTTTATGCATTTGCTAACTAACAAGTAAGATGAATACCTTATTCAAAAAAAACACACCATTTCAATGAACCCTGTTAATATGAAATGTAAACAAAAACTCCAATATCTTTTTCCTGTCAAAATTTAAAACCAAAGATGTGCAAAGAAGCAGCAAAAAATATAACAATAAACTAAATCAGTTTTCTTTTAATGAAGTAAATAAAAAAAATCAATAAAATTTTAATTTTAAACAGTGCAGTCTGTGCTTTATGCATTCTGCTGTCTGTCTACGCTCTGCTGAGACTAAATTCTACAGTCACAGGTCTTTACTGAAATGGAGGAAAGTCAGCGTCTCTATGTCCTCCTGTGAGAGTCTCGCTCTCCTCCGAGAGCGGATATTCTGCTGCAAAGGAGACGCGCTCTGATGGAGCGGAGGGGATAGTGGCGAATGTTTGCGGCAAACTTGTTCACTATGAACCCACCTGTGGTTCCAAAACGCACTTCATCATATTCTTCATAACTTTCATATTTCAAAAGCTACATTCTAAAGGTGGGGGTCATATGAGAGCTGTAACTGTCTTCTTTCCAGTCAAATAGATGGGTGATGTAATTTTAAACCCTTATAATAAAAGAAGCTGAACTCACAATTTTTTTGTTCTACTGAAAGTCGACCCATTTTTCCACAAATCTGGGCTATAAACTATAAACAGATGGCGTCTCTTCAGTGATCTGCTCTGTAAAAATTATTTTTATAAAATACTACAAAGAGCGTCTAAGATTTTTGGCTTTCAGCAGTAAATTGTAAGCATATAGCAATATGTGTGATCATAAATCACGTTCTGTTAATTTGAGGGGAGCTTTTACAAAAAATAAATTAATAAAATAAAAATTTGCAGTTATTTCATGCAGTTACTGAATAATCTGCCTTACGATTTGGTCATGTAAATTCAAATGGACTAATCAAAATATAGCCTGGTCAATAAGAGGTTAAATGTGAACAACTGTGTAAACATTTCATTTCGACACTAACCCTTCGTCCAGCTCCCCTGTGTGTTCACAGAGAACTGCCTCCTGAAACTGCATCGAGTTCGCAAACGATAGTGGACGACTCAAGGCAAACAGAAAACTGTCTGCAACTGTTTGAGGAGCCTAGGTCACAGCGAGACATGCTCGAACTGCTTGCAGTCACTCTCCTCTGTTCGCCGAATTGGAACGCACCGGTGGCCTCGACGTTAAGACAACGACGCAATGCTTAAAACTGTAAACGCTGTTTGGAATACGAACAGTGTCGTTGTGAATAACAGTTACTTGCTTTTCCGTTCCAACCCCATTAAGGATCCCAGAGAACATGCACTTCGAAACAGATATTACAGCTCATAACGAAGTAATGGCTTTCTTTTCTTTGATGGCTTTAAACATTAGGATTAGCGAACTAGCTCGCGAGCACAGCTATCTTACTGAAATGAATGTTCTTCATCAAGTGAGCCGACATGTTTAAGCATTAGAACACGAGAGGGAGCGTGTTATCGCGAAATAACATCACGGCTGTGATTTGGTCGCCGTAGATCATCACAGCCGTGATGTTATTGGCGATAACACACTCCTCGAGTGTTCTATTGCTTTTATACAACAGTTAAATAAATAAAGTAATAAATTAATAAACTGGGCCGTGAACGCGGCGTTTAATATGTTTTAATGTTCGCAGTTCCTTCACCAAATTATAGTTCCTTAACGAGCAGCTTGTTGCTACGTCAGAGTAACGAGCTCCGCCCACTCGCTGCACAGCCGGCAGTTCGTTCTCCAGCTCCACACAGACCAACTGACAGTTTGGGAATTTAGTGTCGTCTCATCTTCAGAGTCTGACCAAATCGGCCGTCGGTCAAATGTGATCTTAAAAGTGTCCATTTTCTGTTTGTGGCAAAGTAAGAAGTAAAAAACGTTCAAATGGCTTGAGCGTCTCCTACAGCTGTCAAAGTCGTTGCTTAGCAACAGCGTCTCAGCGGAGTGATACAGTGTTTTTTGTGATGTTATGGTGAAATAACAGCACAGTTAGAACGCTTCTCAACCAATCAGCTTGCGTGGCCGAAACAAACTGTTGTATAATTCATCAGACACACATGGAGGATGTGCTCCGTGCCAGCTAAGGTCGACTTTACAAACAGCACAACTGTCTCCTTTTTTTTTGGAGTTTAGTGTGAAACGCTCCCTCACTTTTTTGGTCTCGAGGCTGGCATCGCCCTTTTGTTAACTCTCCAGTAAGCAGTAATGTCAAAACATTCCTAGTGAGCGCAAGAAGCACGTGATGTCATCAACTAATGGACTATTAAAGTGGTTGCCAACTAACCTGGTCGTCGATTTTAGTCGACCAAGTCGATTAATCGTTGCACCCCTAAACCCCATTATTTAGATCTATTAATTTATTCATTCTTTTATTTATATTTTTAAGTTATCAATCCAGAGAAGTTTCAAAACGACAGTAAAAATAAAGCTCACCTCGTGTTCCCCATTCTCAAGCTCCTCTTTAACGCGGCTGATGTCAGACGGTGGGATAAGGGCTTTATCATAGCCCTCGTCTATGGGCTCATCCTTTATTTTCATTAAAGGAGAATACAGGGTTTCCTCTCTAAAGCTTCCACCTTGCTCCTGTGACGACGTCTGTAGGGCAGAGAGAAAGAAAAAGGGAAAAAAATTATCTAATAAATGTCCATAATCACACACATCCATTCAAACGTGACGCAAAACATGAAGCAACCCATAATCAATATTAACAATCATAATCAACAAATCCATAATAATTATGCTAATTTCAATTCTGACTGTAGAAAAGCAGAGGAAATAATTAGGGTCTGTCTGCTATGAAAACTGGTAAGATCAATAGATCGTTTTATTAATTTTTTAATTTTATAGTCAAACAGTTTTAAACAGTGTTTTATGGACTGATATGATTGTCAATTATCACACCTCTGAAACAGCAAAAATGCAATAAATAATAGTGTAAAATAATATAAATGTGGGTGCACCTCAGACAAAGAAATCACCAGATCTGTTAGACTTTCATATATTATATAGACCCAGCATATACAAAACAACTACTTTCCTCCCTCCTTTATAAGATCCAGAGTCTGTTTAGCTGGACAAGGAAATCAGAGCCGGTTTATGAGGAGCCTGGCCTCTTCCTATTTCCCCCCATTATATCAAAAACAGTACTGTTAAACAGCAGAGGGGACCTGCGAGGGAGTCTTCAATGAATGGGAGTAAATGGAGCTCAACGGCTAAAAACGAAAAGTTAAAATTGTTTCTAATCACTCGCCCAGAACGTTTCTTTAATTTTAGAAAGTAGGAAGATGTTTTTTACTAAAATAAACAAAGAAATCTTACCTATATGTTTCCTTTTTCTACAGCAAACGGGTTTTGGGCAGCAGAAGGCGGGCTTTACTGCTACTGAGTGCATGAGGCGCTGTTTTAAACTCCGATAACCCGAGTTTAAAAGCTCTTAAAAATATATCAGCAGTGTTAAAATGTTTTATGCTCCTCTGAAATGAATGCATTCTTTGATTTTGCTCAAATGCACCATCTTAACCCATTCATTTTGGACTTACTCAGGAGCGTCTCTAGCGTCTGAGAAACCCGCAAGACATTACAGAGCGTTAATTCCCCTTTTTAAAACTCTTCTAAAAGTATTTCTTTACAGTCTGCCATGCCAACTGATTAGAACACAGCTTCACTGCCAGAGGCAGTGCTGACAATTAAAGAGAACTGGATTCATTTGGTTGCAGTATAATTAGAGTAGAATGTGATGCTCTGTCAAGCACACTGTCAGCTTCTACCACAGGCCATTTTTTTTTTACTAGGAACAGGTTGCTTTGGAAACACAGTATTCAAAAGTACAGACACAGCTTCATAAAATATTCGAAAGCATGGCCCTGACTTGACGGGTATAAAAGGGAACAAATGGCATGGAAGTGGGGGACAAAATGCAACATCTAACTGGTTTTGACTCAACAATCCTAAAGTTTTTATATCTATCTAGCTCTAGAACTAAGTCACGCAAACAAATCAGCTCATTTAAAACAAAGCAGACCAGTTCTTCATTCTGCAGCCGATGCTTTGGGTGTAAGCTTTACTTTTAACTTACACTAGTTTCGTTCTGTGAAGCGCCCTCCTCCATTTGAGACTGCTGAGCATCGTCATCTGAAAGAAATCAGAGAGATTGTGTACATAGTTAACACGCACAGAAAACGCATATAATTTGAATAAATAAACTTTTCATGGATGTGCAAAGAACATGCAACACAACTTAGATGCTTCATCATCCTTACTAATGTCCACTGAGGAACAGAAAGACAAACACCAACACCCTGGTCTTCTCTTTTCAGTTCAGAGGAGCCATTTGCAGTAAAAGGACAGTACCACTGAATTTTTGTTATTTTTATCTGTTCTGTTTTCATTACGGATGGATGTATACCAGCTTTTTCAGACCAAATATGAGTAACCTACTTAGAATTAACTGACTTGGTAAGTTTCCCTAGAACAGAGCGTTTCACACCAAACCACTCTGAACGACTCTGTTTACATCTTAACAACCTAATTAGGCAGAAATGTTGAAAAATCAGTGGTGTTCTCCTTTACTTGTGTTGTCTGTAAAGCACTTCAAATGACCTTATATAAAAGATGCCATAATAATAGTTCGGTCCGTGTCCACTTAAGGAAACAGCTACTTACCTGCATTTGCTCCACTCTGTTGCGAGACTTTCCTGCTCTGACTTTCACTCTCGTCCTGCTCCTCACTGTGACGGCCCCTCTGACTGGAGCTGCTCTCCCAGTCTTCTTCATCCGCCCCAAAAACAGGAAACCCATCCAGCTCGTCTTCCTCGGTGCCACGCTGGGGCCGCTCGGACGAGCTGCTGGACTCTGCGGGCAAATCGGCAACGGACCTCAGGGAACCCTCGCCGGACCTTTCCATCTCAGCACCTGGAAGGAATCAAAAACACATTTCCATAGTTAACAGCAAAAGCACAGCTGAGCTAAATCAGTGCATCTTTATTAAAGCAAACAAGGAGTGTGTTTACATCCGCTCAATAATCCGATCATAATCAGATTTCGGCAGTTATCTGATTACTCAAATGGTCATGTAAACAGCACACTCTGATTTCTTAGATCGGAGTAAAGTCTAAAAATCTGATTAAGAAATCCGATAAAGAGGCTGGATTTTAGCTCAGTAATCAGATTTCTCAGTGCATGTGAACTCTTACTCTGATTTCTTTCTGATTTCTCAGTCTGAGCATGGGCGAGAACAAACAATGGTACCGGAAATAAGCGAGCAGCGTCGCCGCGAGACGCAGCAAAACACTTTTAGAGCGCCGAAGAAACCAAATACATGGTACAAAGAAAAAAGCAGAGTTTGAGTTTTACGTTACGTTTACGTCTTCTTCTGTGAGTTTATTGGCTGGTTGTTAAGCAGAAATCTGATTACTGTCTGACTCATGCAGACCTGGAGTTTCCCCATTATCTGATTACTCAAGTGCATGTAAATGGGTTGATCAGATTACTGACAAAATCTGATTTTCTTCAGTTATCGGATTATTAAGTGCATTAAACGTTACATGGAAACGTTACATAGAAAACATCAGAATTCACATATTAGCAAAAAAATGTGGAACAACAAAATATTTGAATTAAATGGATCAATATCTCTTTTTCAAGGCTTGACAAATAATAAACTGCTGGCTTTTGCATGTAGCAGTGTGTGTTGCAATAATGCGTATCACATAAGGCTGTTTTACAAAGTATTTATGTGCATGAAGGGTGAGTAACAAACTTATATCACAGTATTGTCTACTGTTCAGATGATGGCGACACGATAATACAATATCAAGAAAGTTCATTTATAGTAATAACTATAATGTTTTAAAATACTGTAAAGCCATATTGGGACCAAATATAAACACTGGATTGAAACTGGAATCATTTGTCTCAATTTCAAATTTTCAGGACATTTTTATTCTTACATGCACCTGCTTTTCTGGTAACTGATTTTATCAGATTTTGTCATCAATCTTTTTTAAAAACTATTGTCTTACTGGATTTGTCTGTTGCTTTTCTGTTATTTTATCCCTTTTTTGTATTTCCCTTTTCCTCAAGCGGCATCTGCAGCTTGCCAGACCTCCATTTTAAATGAGAACATATTCTTAATGACTTGTTAAATTAAAGGTTTTGAAATATATAATTGGAATAAATAAATAAACACAAATTCAGGCCAATTCTGCCTCAACAATGCTCCATAAATGGGGCCACTTTAGGCAGATCTGTAACCCTTTTAATGCCCTTTAGTGCTGCCTACAGAAAATCAGAACTGTTTCCTGGTTTCATAATTTATGCAGAAAAGGGTTAATACATGAATAAACATCATAAATCACCAGTCGCATGAAAATAAAAAAAATCTTCTACCTGATGACTGCTCCTCTTCTCTACGGCATTCTTCCGCCATAGAGATGACATTCTGAAATTAAGGAAACAGCAAAGATGTTAATGCAAGTCACTGTGTTTTGTTTTTTTGTGATTTTGTATCAGAGAGAATTCTGTTGAAAGAGCCGCAGTACAGGTTGGACTCTGGCTAAGAAAAAAAAAACTGAACTGGAAGGAACTTCCACCTCCCAGAGTCGAGTTTGCAGACACAGATTTAAGGCCTATTTTTAAAGTGAACAGGCAAATATTTCACAGCTAGAGGTGATGAAAAATAAGACCGTGATTCTCTAAGTGCCAAACGAGTGTATTAAAACATTTTTTTCAACATTTTATTTGACGAGCCTTATATATATATATATAAATAAAATACACACACACACATACACACATATATATATATATATATATATATATATATATATATAAAGTTATGTAAAATATGTAACCATAAAAGTAATGTAAAAATGTGTGTGTATACATATATATATATATTTATACACACACACACATACATATCGCTGCTGTCTGAAGAAAACCTCATCTCATTTTTTATGTTTTTCAGTTTTTGACAATCTGAAAATGCCTGTTGACTAATGGACCAAAAAAAACAACTAAAATGGGAAACTTGGAAAAATGTCTGGTTCCATTGACTTACATTAAAAGTAAAGTAGGTTTTTTAACTGTAAAGTTACAGGAGAAGGAAAAATGTAAAGTTGGAGATACGAGGTTTTGTTCCGACAGCAGTGATATTTACACACACACACACACACACACTTCCTTTTCTTAATTCAAATAGTTAAGACACTTAAACAACCACTTTCTGAGAAGATCTATAGTGATAGTAAAGGAATATCTACAAGATTCCTATACCAACACAAGCTATTACTGCTAATAATGCACTTTATTATTTGCACTACATCATTAATATGCACTGTACCCTGATGTTTATGCATATTGCAAACTACAGTTTACTGGCCTCAGTGTCATTCTACCACTGACACCACTGTCCTGCAATGCACTTTACCTGAACTATGAACCTCCAGTCCAACTACCTTCAGGATCTGCACACGTTGCTGTCATTTGTCTCTGTATCTGCCTCCACCTCCTTCAGAATTACTATGTGACGTAGAACTGTATCTCACAGTACTTGGCAATAAAGATAAAAATAAGGTATGCCTCTCATAATTATGACTTAGTTTCTCATAATAATGAGATACTCTCATAATTATGACTTGGTATTTTGTAATTATGATTTAGAATCTCATAATTATGACTTACTTTCTCACAACTGTGAGAAAATGTTCTCTGTGACAGTAATTACTATGAGATATTACATCACAACTATGGGAAACTCATTATTAAGAGACTCCAAGTCATAATTAGATTAGATTAAACTTCGTCACTGTGCAGAGTGCGGGTACAGGGCCAATGAGATGTAGTTAGCATCTAATCAAAGTGTAAAATACAGTATTATTTACATATAAAGTGCAGGAAAGTAACCGACAATCAACAGTTACAACATGTACAATTAAGGACGGTAGAGTGGTAAAAATTTAGAAGTTGCAAGGTAAAAGACTTCACAGTAAACTTACGATTATATTTGACTAAAGTTTTTGGACCCAGACCCAGATAAGGACTAAACCTAGACTAAAAAGGATTTCTAATGGACATTCACTATAAGCAATGCCACTTAGCCCCAAACTAAACTTAATTCACATCAATCACAGAAAGGGAAAAAGCCTAGTGTAGTCAAGTACTAGTCGTAAATGTGAAAAAAAAAAAATCAATCTACATAATTAAGTGGTTAAGCTGCAAACAGTCATTCAGAGTGGTTTGGTGTGAAACGCTCTGTTCTAGAGAAACTTACTCAGTCAGGATTGTTCACAGTGGTGGTGATAGGAACCAGACGTCCACTGCTGAATGCTTCCTTACAGAATGTCATTGCATAAAACAGTCATGAATTCAGTGCCTGATGCCTGAGGCTCTTTTTTTATGATAATGTTGACCTAAAACATTTCAAAATCATTTAAATTGGTAGAGGAGAGGGCAGAATAGTGCCCAAATAAAACTCGTTTGCTTAAGATTTACCATCATTTTCAACATTCAGAAGACTCGTGTAGGTTCACTGGTGGTTCTGGATAGTAAATAAAATGTCTATATTTGTGTTGTAGTCATGGCGACCCCTGGTTCCTATCACCACCACTGTAAAGACATCTGAGTCTCTACAATCAACCATTTCACACCAGACCACCCTGAATGACTCAGTATACATCTCAAACAATGAATTATGCAATCCTTATCTGGGAAGCCAAAGCTTCCCAAACATTGCAAGTATCATGCAGTACTATAGGAATAGTATACACTCTTAAAAAGATGGTTCTTTGGTAAAGAACATGGTTCTATATAGAATCATGAACACACTAACAACCCTCTGCATGATCAAGGGTTCTCTGCATGGTGAAACGGTGCTCCATATTAATGGAGAACGTGCTGTAGATGAAAAGGGTTCTATATAGCACCAAAAAAGGGTTCTGTTATTGTTAAGACGTCAAGCTTGTAACAATAAAAGAATCCTCATATATATATATATATATATATATATGTATAAAACCAAATACAACACATTCTCCATCAGTCTGAAGAACCATTTTACCATGCAGAGAAAAAATAAGCTTAAATGGTTCTAAACAGAACCATTCCGTTTACCAAAGAACCACAACCACCTTCTGTGTGCAGGTATCACGACGCATGCTACCCCACAACAGCAGGTGGTGCACTTTCTTTCCCTAAATAACCATTTTTCCATCAGAAGTCAGGCTCCGGGTCTGGGTGAGCTCAGATTACGGCGGTAAAGTTACGTCCAGGCGGGAGTGACCAGTAATAGTGGCTAATGCGAGTGGTGAATGTGACCAAAACGCCGTCAGCATCGGACGGACCGCAGCACTGCCGCTGGGTGGCTAAGCAGAGCAGGCGGCAGGTCGTTAGCATTCGCCGGCTAACAGAAGGAACCAAACGGGCTTTATTTACTTGCTGGCTCTGCCGGGCAGCGCTCAGAGGGACCGGAGGGAGGGACGGAACAGCTCCATCAACGAGCTTGCGCTTCTTGCCGAAGCCCAGCTTCACCTGAGTGAAGTTGTGGAACTGGTCTTTGGTGAAATGTGAGCTACAGACGCGGATTCGGTTGCTGGCGGTTCCGCCGCAGCTCACTAGGAACTCCGTCCAGATGCTCCTCAGCTCGCCGTCGGGGAGGCGGTAGAAATTAGCGCCGGGGTCGGTTTCGGAGTTGTTTGTGCATCCGGCGACGCCACAGCGATAAAACGAGGGCATGTCGACATTCAGGGCTCATCAGATTAAACAATAAAGTAACCCTGAAAGCAGCGGAGCTGGAGATACTAGCCTGTTAGCTAGCCAGCTAGCTAGCGTGCTCTATTGTAGTTGGCAAGGCTGAACGAACGATTTGGCTTAGATGACGAAACACCAGCCGCGATTCTGATTGGCGGAGGGGTCGCTTTCTTCTGGCACGGCTCCGCCCAGCCTTGCAAAAACAAATCCTTCAATAAAGGCCCAGTCCCATTTCTCCTTTTCACCCCTACCCCTTGTTTTCGAGTGTCACCCTAACCCCTTGGAACTGAGTTACAGGGTAGTGGTTGAAATCTTCCTCTAAATGGGACCCTCAAATAAAAAGAGCATCACTTCATTAACAGCTACCAGCGCTGCTCTGTAGGCGACCCGGCCCGTCTTCAGTGACAGCAGAGGAGGGTAAAGTTCAGCTCCTCACTGCTGGGCTTTAGTTACATTTAGGGCATCATATGCCTTCAAAGAGGGGGGCAATTATTTATTATCGCCCACCTCTAATTCTTCAGTAATATGAAGCTGAAGTCAGATATTCACCAGATTCTTGTTCGAATTTCCCCGTTCCACCTTAAACGGTGAAGCAGTTACATTCTGGCGCTTCAGGCATCAGAACTGCTGGACTATTTAAGGTGGAACGGGAAAGTTAGCTAGCTAGCTACCGAGACTATTAGCGTGTTTTTATGCTTGTTACGAAGAAAATGAGCATTATACACTGAAACGACGTTAAACTAAGATAATACAGTGGTTATCGTGATTTTTAATAGATAATTCTCATATTTGTGGGTTTCTTTGGTCTCTTGTTCAGCCATCTTGCTGATTTTTCTTTTATTCTCATATCACTCTGTTTGGAGTCTCTGAAAAACCTCTGTTTGGAGGGTCATGTAGCTCTAACACTTCGCCCTACCCCTCTATCTCAACAAGAATCAGGACACCCTACCCACTAGACGTGAACACGCAAAACAGAGGGCTAAGGGCTCAGTGGTAGGGGCGAGGGGTGATAAGGGATAGGGCCAAAATTAGGCCTGATTCTCCAATATCTTTCCAAGTTTGTTCTTAAGTGTGTTCTTGAGAAAGATCCTGAGAAAAAGTCTACATCGGATTCATGGCGTGTTCTTAGAGCGCAGAACTGTTCACACCTTTGTGCTCGAGTGTGTGTAGATTCTGTTCTTACCTAAGAACAAACCCCAATTAATGAAACATGGGTGAACGTCAGAATTTTCATGAAAACTGCGTAAAGAAGAAATTTCTTCTTAAGAACGGTTGGTGAACGAGGCACAGTGACCCAAAATCTATGGAAGCCCGTTTCCGCCACTGGAAAAAAACATTATCGCCATCTATCGCACAGCCATTGAGAACGTCTTCCATTATTATGACGCAGTAACTCATAATTATGACCTACTTTCTCATAATAACTTACTATGTCATAATTACGACTTACTATCTCACACTATTACTTAGCCTCTCAATTGTGTCTTTCTCATAATTATGACTTATTATCTCATTGTTATTATGAGATACTGACTTATTATCTCAATCATGACTTGGTATCTCATGATTATGACTTAGAATCTCATAATTCTGACTTAGTATCTCATAATTCTGACTTAGTATCTCATAATGACTTACTATGTCATAGTTCCGGCTTAGTATCTCATTATTATGACCTAGCATCTCAATTGTGACTTTCTCATAACTATGACTTAGTTTCTCATCATCATGAGATATTGACTTAATATTCCAATCATGACTTGGTATCTTATAATTTTGACTTAGTATCTCATAATGACTTACTATCTCACTGTTATGACCTATCATCTCAATTATGACTTTCTCCAAATTATGACTTAGTACCTCATAATAATGAGATACTATCTCTTAATCACGACTTGGTATCTGATTATGATTTAGAATCTCATAATTTTGACTTGGTACCTCATAAATTTGACTTACTTTCTCACAATTATGGGAAAATGTTCTCGCTGTGATAAGTAATTACTATGAGATATGACGTCACAATTACGAGAAACTTTCGCATTAATCAGAGACACTAACTAAGTCACAATCAGATTAGATTAGATTATCACAGAGCCAATGAAATGCAGTTAGCGTCTAATCAGAAGTGCAAAATACAGTATTACCTACATAAATAGTGCAGGAGAGTAACCGACAATTGACAGTTACAATATGTACAAGTAAGGATGGCAGAGTGGTTAAAAAAAATAGAAATGTTGGAAGTACTGTCAGAGTAGCATATGTAAAATGATAAGTATGCAAGCTCTTCCTGAGCCTGCTGGTGTGGAAGCAGAGGCTCCTGTAACTCCTGCCAGACTGGAGGAGGGTAAAAAGTCCATGGTTAGGATGAGAAACGTTCTTGATGATGTTCCTCACCCTGCCCAGGGAGCGCTTGTGGTAAATATTCTCAATGGTGGGTAACCGGGGGTACCTGTGATACGTTGGGCCGTTTTCAGCACCCGCTGGAGCGCTTTGTGGCCCAGACAGAATCTCATTATTATGAGTCATAATTTATTATTATAAATTATATTATTATTATTATTAAGTCATAATTATGAGATGCTCAGTCATAATTATGGAAAACTTCATTATTACAACTTAATGGCTGTGTATTTTTTGCCAGTGGCAGAAACGGGCTTCCATAGAATTGCTCTGTAGTTGACAGACAAATCATACAGGGCCCTACAGGTAACAGCAAACATGGATCTCATGAAATAAGCTCACAGTCCCTTTTCAATTACTCTGGGCTGTGTACATAACTGATATAATAGATGAATTATACCGCTTTTTTTCCAAGATTTCTGATTAATTAAATTGTTCGGATGTAATCAAAGTCGTCCAGAACGGTTCAAGCTTAAATGGGACATAACAGAGAACATTACACACTCAGATTTCTTTACAGTGGTGGTGATAGGAACCAGAAGAATCAGTGTCTGCAACTCAAATATAGCTATTTTACTTTACAATACAGTCAATCTGTCTTCTGAGTTCTATGTGATGTTGAGAATGATAAAATAGTTAAATAGGCCAAAACCAGTCATATCTATCATAAAACAGTGTCTCAGACATCAGGCAGTGAATTCACAACCATTTCATGTAGTAACTTTCTGTGAGGGAGCTTTTAGAGGTGGACGTCTGGTTCCTATCACCACCACTGTGAACAGTTCTGACTCAGTAAGTTTCTCTAGAACAGAAAAATTCACACCAAACCACTCTGAACCGCTCTGTTTACATCTTGACTTAATTATGAAAATGTTAAAAATAGGTGGAATTCCACTTTAACTATGGCTTCTTCGTGGATGGGCAGCAAAAGAAGCACGAAAATTAGACGCATTTCAACTCAGAGATCAGGATTTGTTCTTAGGTAAGAGCAGAATCCACACACACTCAAGAGCACAGGTGAGAACAGTTCTGCGCTTTAAGAACACGTCATGAATCTGACGTGGACTTTTTCTCAGGATCTTTCTCAAGAACACACTTAAGAACAAACTCAGGAAGAAATTATAGAATGAGGCACAATGACATTAAATACACGTGATATTGATATAATGGCTGGAAGCAATGAGTCTACATGCATCAAGAAAAGCAAACAGGACACAGGAGCTCGTGTTTCGTTTAGTGTGCATATCTCCCTGCTGCCTGTAAATAAACCGTGATCTACAGCTGTTTTCTTCATTAGTTACATCACCAAACAACATTTTCAACGTGCAAATGACAATAACACGTTTATTCACCACTGTTATTCTTAAGGCACTATTACTCTTTCACTACAGACCCCCTAAACCGACACAGTGATTACCACGAATTACATTTCTCATAACTTGTGGCCTCAATTTAGCTTCTATATAGGAGGCCTCAATGTAGTAAATCATGGTAAAACTGTAATAACTCATGGCTTCAATATGGTCATTTTTGGCCTTAAATCGTGGTCTCAATATAGTAAATTGTGGCCTCCACATAATAACTCATGGCCCTAAATTAGTAAATCATAGTCTCAATATAATAACTTGTAATCTCAATATATTAACTTGTGGCCTCAATACAGTAAATATAGTAAATTGTGGCCTCTGCATAACTCATGGTCTCAGTATACTAAATCATAGTCTCAATATAATAACTCGTGGCCTTAATATAATAACTTGTGATCTTAATATATTAACTCATGGGCTCAATATAGTAAATTGTAGTTTCAATATAATAACTCATGGCCTCAACATAGTAAATATAGTAAATTGTGGCCTCCAAACAACAACTCGTGGCCTTGATATAGTAAATCATAGTCTCAGTATAATAACTTGCGATCTCAGTATAATAACTCATGGCCTCAACATAGTAAATATAGTAAATTGTGGCCTCCATATAACAAATCATGGCCTCAATATAATAAATCATAGTCTTGATATAATAACTCATGATCTCAATACAATAACTTCTGGCCTCAATATAGTAAATCCCAGTCTCAATATAATAACTTGTGATCTCAACATAATAACTCGTGGCCGCTATATAGTAAATATAGTAAATTGTGGCCCCCACATAATAGCTCTTGACCTTAATATAGTAAATCAAAGTCTCAATATAATAACTCATGGCCTTAATATAGTAAATTGTGGCCTCCACATAACAACTCATGCCCTAATATAGTAAATCATAGTCTCAATATAATAACTCGTGGCCTCAATATAGTAAATTGTGGCCTCCACATAACAACTCATGCCCTAATATAGTAAATCATAGTCTCAATATAATAACTCGTGGCCTTAATATAGTAAATTGTGGCCTCCACATAACAACTCATGCCCTAATATAGTAAATCATAGGCTTAATATAATAACTCGTGGC